TATTAAAAAATATATATATATATATAAGTAGCATAAAGTAGAGTCACATTTGCCCAGTATTTATCAAAAATAGGGTTAGGCCCCAATCTATATAGAAAATTGTGTTAAAGCCCCCAGTATAAATAAAAAATAGGATTAGAGGCCATTGTGGAAGAGAGAGAACCTACATAAATTGCAGTCACAAGTTCAAGGCTTGTAATTCTTCACTTTTTTAATGCAGTTTGATAATTAATGATTTTATTTTCTTGTTTTGAGAAAGCATTTTGATTTGCTTTGTGTATGAACTGTGCTTTACAAATAAACTTGCCTCAAACTGCACAGATGTAATGCAATGGGAGGATTGTATTCCAGCATGCACTGGGACGGTTTGCAGCCGAGTGCGAAGCGGCTGGGATGAGAATCAGCACCTCCAAATCCGAGGCCATGGTGCTCGACCGGAAAAAGGTGCCTTGCCCTCTCCAGGTGGGTGGAGAGGTCCTTCCTCAAGTGGAGGAGTTCAAGTATCTCGGGGTCTTGTTCACGAGTGAGGGAAGAATGGAGCGTGAGATTGACAGGCGGATCGGTGCAGCGTGCGCAGTGATGCGGTCTCTGTATCGGACCGTTGTGGTAAAGAGGGAGCTGAGCCGAAAGGCGAAGCTCTCGATTTACCGGTCAATCTTCGTGCCCTCCCTCACCTATGGTCATGAGCTTTGGGTAATGACCGAAAGAACGAGATCGCGGATACAAGCGGTCGAAATGAGCTTCCTCCGCAGAGTGGCTGCTCCCTTAGAGATAGGGTGAGGAGCTCAGTCACACGGGAGGAGCTCGGAGTAGAGCCGCTGCTTCTCCACGTCGAGAGGAACCAGTTGAGGTGGCTCGGGCATCTGTTCAGGATGCCTCCTGGACGCCTCCCTGGGGAGGTGTTCCGGGCACGTCCCACCGGGAGGAGGCCCCGGGGAAGACCCAGGACACGCTGGAGAGACTATGTCTCTCAGCTGGCCTGGGAACGCCTTGGGGTCCCCCCGGACGAGCTGGAGGAGGTGTGTGTGGATAGGGAAGTCTGGGCGTCTCTGCTTAGACTGCTGCCCCCGCGACCCGGCAACGGATAAAGCGGAGAAAATGGATGGATGGATGGATGGATTGTATTCCAAATGTTTTATTTTTACAGCTGTTTATCTTGTTGTTGAGTGCTTCCTTTAGTCTCTCACTGACTGTATACAGATGGACAATGCTAAACCGCTAGCTCAATGCAGCCAAATAGGTAAGTGCTCATGTACGAAGTTTTGCTCTGGTTCCTATTGACATACATTTGAAAGTAAAGGCCTCTAGCTCAGTAACGGCAAAAAAACACGTAAGCTAGCTGGAGCCGAATTCCTTATATGGCCGTTTTATGACAACGGCGTTAGTTTCACACCATAACCTGGGCAGACGCATTGCTAAAACGATTGCAAAGGCAAGCTAGAAATTCCCCTGCGGATTATGGCATCTGATTCGTCAATCATTATGCCTCATATCTGAAATTACAAAGCCAATATCATAACATAAACAACAGGATAATATAGAACGCCAAACCAAAGACTTTTTTAAGCCCAAAATGGTGAGTGTGACGCAAACAGTGACTGAGCAAGAGCAGTTTACTTTTCAATGGAAGTCCATAGGATCCAGAGCGAGTTGGAGCAAATCTTCATCCATGAGCGCTTCCCTCTTTAGCTTCATTGGGCTCGCAGGTTAGCAAAGTCCAACTGTATAAAGTCTATGGGTCAAATAAAGGATCTCTTATTTCACTGCACCCCGGGGCAAGCTGTGAACCCGTTAACTAGCCCTTTGCTTGAATATTGCGACATCAATTGAAACAATAAAAGATCCCGGGCCCTTGAGCAGTCCCCGCTGTCAGAGCCTCAAGAGCAGGCTTTGACAGGTGCCATACCCCCAATTCAAGTCAATTTTAATGTATTTTTGTGTAGCCCTAAATCACAGCAGCAGTCTGGACTTTTCAAAGTTGTGGATTTTGCAACAACAAATCAGAAAATCAGACAAGCAGGAAGTGCATTGAGAAGAAAAATACATAGGAGCTATTGGTGCATAGAGAGTGGGATGACCAATGTACATATACAGTATATTAACAAATGATTAATGACATGACTCCAGAGCATTACACTGCACTGACACTGAGCCTATATTTAGATTTAGCTATTTTTACAATAAAAAACCATAATTATGATGTAATTATTTGGTAGGGATAGTATAAGTGTATGTAGCGCAATCAACATGTGAAAAACGACTACATTAAAAGCCAAGGCTAAATTACACTGAAAAAACCATAACAGAAAAATAGATTTGTTATTCATTCTTACTAAAACAACAGAATGACGGAATGGGACAGTCATTGTAAGTGAGTAAGCAGTAAGTAGGTCATCTTTATGTATTTAAAAAGCGCATTTCATAGACACAAAGGGCACACAAAGCACTTTGAAATGGTTGGTGTCGCATTGATTCCATTTGCTCCACACACAAAGTCTCGATCCGAAGCCCCCGACCATCACCATCCTTCACGCTCTCATTATATTCAGACCATGTTTTTAATGATAGGGTAAACCGGAGCACCTGGAGGAAACCTGGAAGAGTATTGTACTAGTCTGTATTTAATTTTCTCTGCCTCTCTGAGCTCGACAGTAGCTCAGTTGGTAGAGCATTGGCCTTAAGGCCAGAAGGTCGGGGGTTCAATTCCCACCTCTGCACCTTCTCCATCGACTCCCACTGATGACTGCTGTCGTTGTGTCCTTGGGCAAGACACTTAACCCCACTTTGCCCAAAAGCCCCCACTGAAAGATCAAGGCTATGCTCACACTCAAAGAGCAGCCGTCCTTCTGTGGACTCACCACCTGCAGAGGGTCAGTGAGGGGCTGGTGCTTTGAGACTTGGGTGGCATCTCTGATTGCCACCCCCCTGACCCAGAAATGGATTAAAGGGTAGATGGATGGATGCCTCTTTTATCTTTTATTGTCAATGTCCACTTTGTGTCCGCAATGAAGCCTGATAATAATAATGTTGTCTTGATTTTTGACATTCAAAAAAAGACAAAAGAAATGCGGCTAATATATCCATCCATCCATTCATTTTCTTCCGCTTTATCCGTTGCCGGGTCGCGGGGGCAGCAGTCTAAGCAGAGACGCCCAGACTTCCCTATCCACACACACCTCCTCCAGCTCGTCCGGGGGGACCCCAAGGCGTTCCCAGGCCAGCTGAGAGACATAGTCCCTCCAGCGTGTCCTAGGTCTTCCGCGGGGTCTCCTCCCGGTGGGACGTGCCCGGAACACCTCCCCAGGGAGGCGTCCAGGAGGCATCCGGAACAGATGCCCGAGCCACCTCAACTGGTTCCTCTCGACGTGGAGAAGCAGCGGCTCTACTCCGAGCTCCTCCCGTGTGACTGAGCTCCTCACCCTATCTCTAAGGGAGCGCCCAGCCACTCTGCGGAGGAAGCTCATTTTGACCGCTTGTATCCGCGATCTCGTTCTTTCGGTCATTACCCAAAGCTCATGACCATAGTTGAGGGAGGGAACGAAGATTGACCGGTAAATCGAGAGCTTTGCCTTTCGGCTCAGCTCCCTCTTTACCACAACGGTAAAATACTAATGTATTTCTGTTTACAATTTGTCAGCTCAAATGGAGTGGGGAAAAAACTAAACACCCTACTTTTAAGAAAACGTGTAGACCCTTGAACATAATTTAAATACATTATTTTAATCAAGGTTAACGTAAAACCGGATTTTTTTGTCAGAATTCCATCGATTTGATTGAGAACCGTCAAAAGAACTGCTGAAATTCTTCTGTTGATCTTTTAAAATAGGCAAACACGATGAAATACACATGTTTAATGCGATCTGCCTGTACGTTTTAAAGTTAAAGTTAGAAATTCCTTTTTTCATCCTACAGCGGGGAAAATTCAAAGTCATCGTTGCGCACATTACAGCAGAGAAAATAAGGATAGACGAGCACACATCAAACAGGGTCTATTTTTTAAGATAATACAATAAAAATAATTAAATAATAGTAAAAAGATCTTTCTTTTTTTCTATCTTTCTTTTAGAATGTGAATGACCTACTGTATGTGAGTTTTAACGTACTGTGTTTTACTTGATATTCATTGTGTACTACTACTATGTCTGCTGTACTGTCCTACTGTTTGTCTTGCCTTCATTGTGGATTTGTCACATGTGGTCTTGAATTGTAATTCTTTATTCCCTGCCCCATAGGACTACGGACGGAAACTAGCCATGAGCTAAATCCAGTGTATTTACAGTTTTTACTATTCATGAATGCACACTGTCCCATTCAAACAAAGAAAGAAATAAAATAAGATGATAAAATAGAATAAAAATAAATTAAATAAAACCATGGAGCTATACTTGCACTTGGTTCGGATGTATTTATAGATGTGTATGTTGTACTTCAGCAGCAGAGAATACAAACAGAATAAACAATAGTAATAAAAGCAGCAGGTAAAGTGACGAGTGAATGACAGAAATATCAGAGGAATGGATATGTAGTAACGTATTAATAATAATAACAGATTTAGTGACTAATTATTAATTAAGTGACTAATTATCAGAACAGGTGAATTTGGCATACGCGCATGTAGGTTGTTGTTAACTTTATAAATAAATAATAAAATGCATACATACATACGTAAATCTTATATTCTATCTTGGATGACAGAAACACTTGACCACAACACCATGACGTGACCGGTTTCCCCATTTTCCAAAAGATAAACAACTCCGGGAAACACAGGAAGCCCAAAGCGCGCTCGAACAATCAAAGAAAAAAAATGTTGGAATTTGAGCGGAAAAATGCCAGACATTTAAGGAATGTCATGTCCTGCAGAGTTACGCGGAATTTAACAGTCAAAAAACACTGTTCTGAGGTGGAAAAGACACAGACAAAAATAAACTAGCTAAAAGTTTACAGCACGCGACGCTAGCAAAACAAGTACATTTTAGCTAACCACGCTGCCCACTTACCTGTTGCTGGTAATTGGGGTTTTTTGCAGGCAGGTGGAATAAAAAACAAAAATAATATTAATATTTATTTAAAAAACAATGAAAGTTTTTTAAAGTCCTGGACACTCGCTGTGGCTGTGTGTTTATTAGGCAGCCTCGGCTCCTTCCTCATGCTTGAAGCGAGTGCAGGGCAGGAATTTGAGGAATTAGCCGTGGTATGACATGAAGGCTGGAAAAAGCCAGAGAAAAAGACCCAAGACAGGGGAGGGGAGGGCCGAGGGAAGGTCTGCCCGGCCGGCGTCATTGCACACGGGAGGGGGGGTCTCCATTAGCGGCCAGTGGAGAAGGAGGGGGCCACACTTATGACAGAGGATTCACATTTCCTCTCATGTTTCCAAGTTTGTCTTTAGAGAAACGGAGACGCAATCCTAAATACAGGCCGACTGCTTTACAGTTATTTTAATGTAGTTTTTGCTCAATATTATTGTACTAGAGTGAATTACAGAAGCATATAAAAATCTATATTTATTGTGTGTATATATACTTTTCTCCTTTATTAAGCTAAAGAGATAGATAGAGGACCATCAACGATATTTATGGACATCTATTGACCTTTCTGCCCCTTATGGACCAATATAAATGTTTTTTGAATAATTTGTCATTGCATTTCTTGTGTTTGAACTTGTTTGATTCTCTCATCTGTGTTGGCGAATCGACAACTTTGTAAACTCCGAAATAACTACTGTTGTGATTTCGGGCTATTAAAAATACATTGAACTGAATTTAAATTTGTTTTTCTTTTTTTAGAGTATAGTGTTGTGCTGTAAATATTCACTTATCTTGTGTTACTTGTGATGCAACAATGACATTTCCCCTCTGTGGGACGAACAATAGAACCACCTGTATCACTCACTACTGTAGTAACTATAGTATAAGCAATCCCTTTAGTATATAAAGAGATTGTGTGCAAAGACAGATATCTCTATATGTTTGAAAATGTGTGAAAAAGTTGTATTTCTAATAGCTGTAATCTTCAAATATGTTTGGCATTAAAGTAGATCTGGATTTTCACAAAACTACTTGGTAAAGAGAAAAATGCCGATTAAAGTCTATACTGAGTAAATCAGACAACCTTTTTAAACCGCCAATTTGTACAAACCGGGCAAAAGAAAGTAAGGTTTTTTAAGTTTTATTCATAAAAATGACTGTGCTTGTCTAGCCAGTCATCAAATTATGCTATGTGTTTATGTATTGGTAACTAATTCTATATGTGCATGTACAAACACGGCACATACAGATCTGTTTATCAGTTCATGCATAATAGAGGCAAAAGGGGATTTTTTATTGATCTTGAAATTATAATAACAAAATATTAGCCAAACAAATAGGACGATGAAACATGTTTAAAATTAGATTGGGGCCAAATGTGTTGCAACAGACACATTGCCTCTTTGTGACTGTTGCATAAGAGCAGCGGCCCGACAACAATGGTCTGAGAAAGAGTGATCTTTGGACCCTGAGACAGAGCTCCTGCAGCGCACACGGTCTGAGGTCAGGCTGAGGTAGAGAGCCCCCTGGTGGACACCCGCTGTGTTTCATCTCAATGGATTCTCTCACAACCTGACTCACAACACTTTTGAACTATTCTTTCATTCAAAAAGCAAGGTTTCTGGATTGCTACACGAGTCTATTGTGTAGTGAAAATGTTTCTCCCTCAGGTGCTCTGCAGATTGAGGATCAGAATCTGAAAACGCAGAAAACAGAGGCACTCAGTGGGTATAGAACAAGTTTAAAAGCCTTTTTTAATACATGGTTATTATGTTTTGTTGAAACACCAACACGTTTCTGCCTCTCAGACCTTCATCAGGGCGTGTGTTTCATGTGAAGGCCGATTAAAAAACAACTTAATAGCCATGTAAAGATAAAGACTTTTTATTTTTCTATACTGTATAGAAAAATAAAAAGTCTTTATCTTTACATGGCAATTATGTTGTTTTTTAAAATCTCCTTTCACATGAAACTGATGAAGGTCTGAGAGGCCGATACATGTTTTAACAAAACATAATAACCATGTATTAATAAAGGCTTTTAAACTTGTTCTATACCCACTGAGTGCCTCCGTTTTCTCCGCTTTGAGATTTTTGAACTATTGTAGCATAAATTCCAAGTCCCATTCATAGAAAATTCTATTCACAAATCTTTAACATTATACCTCTCAAAGCAGTCAATTCGACGGCTTTTGGTTCTGAAAGTGTAATAGGGTATGTATCTAGTTGGTCTTTATAACTTTTTCTGTAGTTTATTCATATGTCAGTCATTTTAAAAATAAAAACATCATATATTGTACTGTGAACTTCCAGAGCCGTCATTTTAACTGCACCATTCATTTTAATGTAAAACCAACATGGCAGTTTAAGCCCTTTCATCCAAAGTGCTTCTGTCCAATTGTCTCCATTTGTTTGTGTTACTTCTTGTGGACATCACAGACACAAACACGACTCACAGAGCGATCCATTCATTTCAATTGTCTTTATTAGTAAAATGTGGTCAAGATCAGGTCTACAACATTTTATTTTCAGACTCGAGTGAGCTGTATTCACATATGTAACAGTGGTACACACATCTGAAACCAAAGTGGTCTACGCACAACTAGACTTTGTTAAATAAAGCCTATTATAAGCTACAGGAGGTTTATGTGTACTCAGGAAAGAGAAAAGGCCTAAAAAACAATATAAATTAACTAGAACGCCTCCTGCTGAAGAAATTATGGAGAGAAAAAAGTCGGAATGTAACTTAGAAAAAGTAGGAATGTATAAAGACTTTATGTTCACTTCACATGTTTGAAAGAAAACACAATAAAACATCCGAAAATGTAATAAAAAACAGAAAAATTGGTCTTGAAATGCATGTGCCGGATGCGGAAGAGGCCAGTTGGAATTTAAGATAGCTGGAGCCAATTTCCTTATATGGGCGTGTGTCCTGACGGCGTTAGCTTCGCACTGTAACGAGGGCAGACGTGTTGCTAAGACGGTTGCTAAGGCAAGCTGGAGTTTCCCATCTGACTGGTCGATCCTTATCTGGCTCATATCTGGATTTCCAAAGACAATATCACAAAATAAACACCAGGATCACAGAGAATGTTAAACTTCAGATGTTTTAAGCCCAAAATGGTGAGTGTGACACAAACGTTGACTGAGATGAAGGAGTTTACTTTTCCGTGTGAGTCAATGGGAGCCAGAGAGAGTGTCATTGAGCTAGCGGGTTAGCATTGTCCATCTGAACACAGCTTAAGCTCCCGACATTCTTTGAGGCCGAGTTAAATTCACATTGACACAATACTATGAACAGATTTTACACTTTTCAAAACCGTCCTTGTTTCCTGGTTTGTTGTTGCCGAGGGTTACTTCTTTGACAGAAACTTCATCTTGCTACCTAAAAATGGAGAGAGAAAAGCAGCATGTAAGGATTTTGTGATAAGTTGGTTTTACTGCTTTAACTTTGTGCGTGTTTTTTTAACTAGAATATTTAATGAACTCACCGAGGCCTTTGAGGAATTTGTTCACCCCTCTCTGTTCACTTCCAGGCAGTGAGTCCAAATACTCCTGTGCTCTCACCTCGAACAGACCTGTGGACAAAAATATATGTATTTACAATAATATCCAATGTTTTTATACACTACCAACAATCAACAATGTTCAACTTCAATCTGAAAAACAACCATTGTGAGAAGGTTTCGTGGACATTTAGTGGTCGGTTGTCGGTTTCTGTCTATTATAACTGAAAATGTGGCGTTTGTGTGACATCACAACGTTACAATGAGCCTATAGTTTCACGTTGTGGAGGAGCAGCTGAAAGGTCCTTCCTGGTAACTCGGCTAAGTGTCGAGTCTTAGTTTAGAGCTAATTTCTTTGTTATTCCTGGAACAATCCACAAGAAACAAAAACTCTCCAAAAGATACATTGGGACCACAGACCACAACTATGGCCTCATTCTTTTCTCTCTATGGTCTCTCTCTGGTCTCTTGTCTCTTTATCTCTGGTCTCTCTCTCTGGTTTCTCTCTCTCTAGTCTCTCTCTCACTGGTCTCTTTCACTGATCCCTTTCCATTCTCCTTCTCTGGTTAGTCGTCAAACTTTGTCCATGAACACTTTTCTATTGGGCTCCAGCGATATACAGTCTACGTCTCATTTCCATTTCTTTAGTTCCTCTTAGTCCTGGTTCTATCCCTGTCGAGCTGGTACCATAGTGTTTTAACTAGCATTGATAGGCCAGAGGGCTGCAGGAAGCCATGATTACCAAGAAATATCCACAGATCCTGTTTGTTGTGGCTAAGTTTCTACGATACGGTACAAGGTACAAAAACCTTATGGAAAGCAACCAGGTAGAGCTAAGCCGAGTATAGTAGGGCTAGTGGAAACAGGAGTTAAACATGCATTGTCCATCTGTATACAGTCTATGTTAGCATTGTCCATATCTATACAGTCTATGTTAGCATTGTTCATCTGTATACAGTCTATGTTAGCATCCTCCATCAGTATACAGTCTATGTTAGCATCGTCCATCAGTATACAGTCTATGTTAGCATCTTCTGTCTATGGTTATCGCACCTTTGAGTCCTTGGCGCCGTAGCTCCCGCTCCTGGATGAAGCCTGTAAACATCTGTGTCTCCATGAAGACCTCCAGGAAGCGCCTCAGACTCTTGGAGGTCACGGCTTTTCGGAAGGGCTCTCGTTGGAAGGTGGAGGCTGGAGGATTGTGGGAGGAGGGGGAGGAAAGAGACTCGTCCTCTCGCTCCGTCCCCCCCAAGAACAGAGAGAAGTGCCCCACGATCTCCACAAAGAAGCGCACGAAGGCCTCAGACACCACGGCACTGAGGGAGCTGGAGTCTGCGGGAGGGAGGACACTGGATCAGGACCAGGACAACACCAAGAACAACACACACAAAGGGCTCTACTCAGAAAGAGCCCTGGGAGTCACTGTTTGATGCTTTGGGCTAAGAACTATCTGGAAAAAGTCCTTTAAAGAGGTGACCATGTGTGAGGCAAAAAATATATGCATGTGGAAACTAGGACCAGGACCAAGACCAAGACCCAGACCCAGACCCAGACCAAGTCCAAGTGTTGGCCCTGCCAGAAGATGTCATTTGACCAACACAACAGTCTTGGAAAAGTTCAATATTGGGATCAAATCAGACCAGATTTTTAATTCTAGTCAAACTACCAAACCAGATTTACCTATAAGTTGTCCCTGGTTTACGGCAGGGGTTAGGTTCTAGAAATAACTCTCAATAAGTGAAATCCTTGAAGTAGCAGCTGTGTGTTTCATGGCTGTAAAACCCTCACACACACTTTATACACTTTTCTGATACTGATAAAGCCATTATTTATATTTGTTCCAACCTAAATTCAGTCAGTTGGTAATGATATGATCTTTTTATATGTACAGGATTTGGAGAAAACTACTCATCTATGCGTCGAACTGAACAGTCACCGTGACGCACCATTAAAGAGGTCTCCTTTATCGGAGGCCAGCTCTTTCCTCTTGTCCAGCACCTGCTCCAGTGCAGCCTGCAGCTTATGTGGAAGAATGGAGTCCTCGTCGTCCAACTGAAGAAAGACAAACACATGCGTACTTCCTGGTTATAACAAAAACAGACTGATGTGAGGAAGTGCAATTCTCCAAACAGCACGATGAGATAAGAAATGTCTTTAGTCAGCTCGGCCCTCTCTACAGATGGCTACAGACTACAGGAGTTTTAAGCCAAGTTTCCTTCTGGCCCTACTCTACTACGCCACTGGCCCTGTTCAACTGGTACCAGGTACTTTAAAAATCCCTTTTGGCCCTGGTTCTATTCAGGCCGAGCTGAAACTATCTTTAGCACCAGCATTCACAGCTTTTTTTGCTCTTTTTAAAATTTTTCTTTCATTATTCTTAGCTATGGGTCCTGTGCTTGCATGTAAATCTAAATTAATAAAATAGATAACTGTATTGCCCCTGTAGGGAAATGTGTCCTCTGCATTTGACCCATTCTTCCAGTGCCAGGCAGGTCTCGGTCAGGTCTATATGTTGGTGCTCTGGGTCAGGACCAGAGCTGGAGGATTTTGCATATTGTACATGTTTTAGTGGTAGGGGAAACAGGAAGACATCTATGAAGCGCTCCTTGTGTCTGCATAGGTTGCTTTTGCCAAATGTGATACCAAAAAAAAGGGTTCTCATGCTACTGCACTACACAAACTGTCCAGCAGATGGCAGCGTCTATTCAATCTATGGGCAACCTCTATGTGTTTGCTCCATGCTGCTGTAGCCACATGACTCTACATCAGTAGCAATGATTACATAATAGAATAAAACACCTTGGTTGACACGGGGAGAACATGCAAACTCCACTCAGAAAGCCCCTGCTACGACCGGGATACGAACCCAAGACTGAGAGGCGAGAATGCTTTGTTAAAGGAGGTTTTACACACCTGTCGTACGAAGCGACTGCTGCCGAGATCTACGACCAGGACCTGAGAGAAAAGACGCAAAGTGTTACATCGCGACACAAAATGCATCTTGGGAAACCGGAGACACACAACTTTTTTTCTCAGGGCTGTCAAACTTTGTAAAGGTCAAGGGACAACATTTGATTTGACTTTTTTAACATCCATCCATCCATCCATTTTCTACCCTTTAATCCATTTCTGGGTCAGGGGGGTGACAGTCAGAGATGCCACCCAAGTCTCACAGCACCAGCCCCTCACTGACCCTCTGCAGGTGGTGAGTCCACAGGAGGACGGCTGCTCTCTGAGTGTGAGCATAGCCTTGATCTTTCAGTGGGGGCTTTGGGCAAAGTGGGGTTAAGTGTCTTGCCCAAGGACACAACGACAGCAGTCATCAGTGGGAGTCGGTGGAGAAGGTGCAGAGGTGGGAATTGAACCCACGACCTTCTGGCCTTAAGGCCAATGCTCTACCAACTGAGCTACTGTCGCTCCATTTTTAACATTATTGTTGGTATTGTCACAAAATGATTAATTTTGTTCAACATGAGTTTGGCGATTCTTTTCTGGTAGATTTCAATAATAATAACAATTATTAACAATTTGGATTTACTCAAGAATTAACAGAATTCAGCATCCATAAGTGTTTTGTCAGTGTTAATACTCTTTTTGTTATATTTTGTAGTTGCTTGTGATTAATATGTACTTACTTATAAATAAATACAAATTGTAATTGTAGACTGAGGTGCAGGATCAAATTTATTATCATTAATTATGTCTTGGATTGAAAGTGCAAGAATGCATGAAATTGCTTGGTTGATTTCTGGAAAGAAATCTTGCTTTTTCTTTCAATTTCAATTCAATATATTCTGATATAGCCCTAAATTACAACACAAAGAACACATAGAGCCATTGGTCCATAAGCGGCAGAAGACCAATGTCTATAAATGTTGAATGTTGTCCTGGATTATCACCACGGTCCTTTTTGCCAGACCTTCACAATCAAAACGCTGTAAAATTAGGTTTAACATGCCAGGGCTCCTCTTACCACCAATACTGTTTAAGTCTGGGTAAAGGTATATAGGAGGATATTTATTTTTTACTTTGTGAACAGAACCCCCTGGTTTTATTTAATGAGCACGTATCACCAGAATGACTGACAAGCGGGAGGACCAATAGTCTTGATGATCCACCCGGAAATGCGGATGTACCTCTTCGATGGGGAGCTCGGTGAGTCGGGGCAAGGAGCTGGACAGAAGGCCCACAATGAAGGGGGTCGGCGTGCAGACGATGTCGAGCATGGAGGGCGGCAGCACCGGGATGTACGTGTGCTGCCAGGTGAACGGGTAGAGCAGAGCCACCACCGCGTGACAGCACTGAGACAACGTACTGTGGAGGACAACCATGGAGCGGGGGTTAGGAGGGGGCTGGCAGAGTGTGACATCACCACAGTGTTAGGGTTAGGGTCTCTCTCTCTGTGGTTTCTCTCTGGTCTCTCTCTGGTCTTTCTCTGTGGTCTCTCTCTGGTCTTTCTCTGTGGTCTCTCTCTGGTCTTTCTCTCTGGTCTCTCTCTGGTCTTTCTCTGTGGTCTCTCTCTGGTTTTTCTCTGGTCTTTCTCTGGTCTTTCTCTGTGGTCTCTCTCTGGTCTTTCTCTGGTCTTTCTCTGTGGTTTCTCTCTGGTCTCTCTCTGGTCTTTCTCTGTGGTCTCTCTCTGGTCTTTCTCTGTGGTTTCTCTCTGGTCTTTCTCTGTGGTCTCTCTCTGGTCTTTCTCTGTGGTCTCTCTCTGGTCTTTCTCTGTGGTTTCTCTCTGGTCTCTCTCTGGTCTTTCTCTGTGGTCTCTCTCTGGTCTTTCTCGGGTCTCTCTCAAGTCTCACTCTGGTCTTTCTCTGTGGTCTCTATCTGGTCTCTCTCTGGTCTTTCTCAATTTCTCTCTGCTCATCTGCCTCTGGTTTCCCTCTATTCTCCGACTGGTCTCCCAATGGTCCCTCCCTCATCTCACTCTCCCTCTGGTCTCTCCCTCTGGTCTCTCTCTAATCTCTTTCTAGTCTCCCTCTAGTCTCCCAATGGTCCCTCCCTCATCTCCCTCTCCGTCTGGTCTCTCCTTTATCTTTCTCTAATCTCCACCTGGTCTCTCCCTCATCTCCCTCTAGTCTAGTCTCACTCTGGTCTCCCTCTGATCTTTCCATTAACTATGTTCTCATAATCTTCTCATGAAGTTGTCTATTATTCTACACCTCCTCAAAGTTAATATTACTTTGCACAATTCCTAAATGAATGAGACAATATACAGTGAATGCGTTCAGTCAAACGTGTCCACAGATTCCACCTAACACCAGCAGAGGGCGCTGATCCTCTGTCTAGATGTTTCCGTGTCGATCCCGGTCCCCTGTGTCTGAGAGGAATGTCTTTGAGGGCTGTGTGATGTAACATAAAACTATAAAACTAACCTCACACAGTTAGCATAATGTGTTCAGCGTGTGCATCTGGCCGCGCTTAATTCATTTGAGGAAAGAAAAAAAGTAAACGATTTCCGCTTATTGTAAAAATGTGCAACAACCCACACATATGCCACAGGTGGGAATAATGGCTCACATCTTTTCTCTTACATTTAAATGAAAACATCAGGAGAGACTATTTTATCTTGACTGGCATCGGGCTGTTCTGAGCTTTAAAATGACCTATAACAGAGCTGAAGTTGGCTGAATGACACATGTTCACCATCTCACCAGCTACATTAGCATCGTTAACAGAAGTTTGAGACAGAATCAAAAACCACGTAGAGAAAGTTTGTACAAATAAACTCTGAATTCCAGATGTACCGGCCTTTAGAACGAGTTATGACATGTCTATATTGGCTGAGCTGAAGTTGGATGGATGACACAGTGAACTTGTGTTTATGATCATAAAGACTACTTTGGGTTAGCAAGGCAGAGGGCCACATGAAATGACAATGAGGGCCACAAATGGACCCCGGGCCTGAGTTTGGACATGCCTGCTCTAAAACAAAGTGTTGGCCTTAATGCGGAACATGCCAATTTGAAAATAAACTAGCTGGAGCCAATTTCCTTATATACAGGCATTTATTTAGTTAGCTTGGCCTCGTATCTGGTGCTAACATGTTGCTAAGATGGTTGCTAAGGCAAGGTGGAGTCCCTATGGTAATGAGGACATCTGATTGGTCAATCCTTATATGGCTCAAATCTGGATTAACAAAGGCAGTATCAAAATGCAAACACCAGGATCATATTTAGTGATTTTTTTTCAAACTGAAAATATGAAAATGGTTCAGTAACCCACCGGAGGTTTTAGAGGAGCTACTTTTCATGTAAGTCGATAGGAGCCAGAGCGAGTTGGAGCAAAAATCCACACAGCACTTTCCTGTAGCACTTCACTGAGTTAGCGGGTTAGCTTTGTCCAGCTATACACAGTCTATGCTATAAATGTCTCTGTCTCTGACTACGGAGGGAAATGAGCTTGGAGATATGTCCGCTCTGAACAATGTCCCTGTCAAATAAATAGAATAAATAAAATAAATAAAATAAATAAAATAAATAAAATAAATAAAATAAATAAAATAAATAAAATAAATAAAATAAAAATAATACAATGAATAACAAAAAAAACACATAAAATGATTGTGAATAAAGTGAATAAAATAAAATAAAATAAAATAAATACATAAAAAGTAAACAACAAAAAAACTAATAGAAAAAAAATAGATGAAATAATATAAATAAATAGTAATATAATATAAATAGTCCTGCTTCGAAGACATTTCTATTAATATACTGATAGATAACAGAACAAGTAACTATGAGAAAGATGAAGGGTGAAACGTCGGAAAACCTGCTAACTGAAGTACAGAGTGAGAAACCTCCCTTTGTTTTGAATACTCGCTGTACGACTGAGATCTTACACACACTTTTTTATCACAAACTCTTTTTTTGTGGTTTGAAAATTAGTCTCAGATTCCACGGTGGATTCCGTCGTGTGCTCATATCAGATTTTCCGAAACTATGTGGCTGTTGTGATGTCAGTGCGCACATGTGTTTGCTCTGGAACAAAAAAACTCCTGAAGTAACTCATCCCTCTGGCGGCCATGACAGTTTTCCAGTGAAGGAGATTGGTCCTCGGGCGACTGTAGACGACAGCAGCATTCCTTCCCCTCGTCCTCCTCTGTCTCATTATGTCTTCAGATCCTCCAGACATGATCCTACAGACCAGACTCTCTCTTTGGTCTCTGTCTGGTCTCTTTCTGGTCTCTCTCTGATCTCTCTCTAGTCTCTCTCTGGTCTCTATCCGGTCTCTATCCGGTCTCTGTCCAGTCTCTCTCCGGTCTCTCTCTGGTCTCTCTCTGGTCTCTCTCTGGTCTTTCTCTGGTCTCTCTCTGGTCTCTCTCTGGTCTCTATCCGGTCTCTCTCCGGTCTCTCTCTGGTCTCTATCCGGTCTCTATCCGGTCTCTATCCGGTCTCTCTCCAGTCTCTCTCCGGTCTCTCTCTGGTCTCTCTCTGGTCTCTCTCTAGTCTCTCTCTAGTCTCTCTCTGGTCTCTCTCTGGTCTCTCTCTGGTCTCTCTCTGGTCTCTCTCTGGTCTCTATCCGGTCTCTCTCTGGTCTCTCTCTGGTCTCTCTCTGGTCTCTCTCTAGTCTCTCTCCGGTCTCTCTCCGGTCTCTCTCTGGTCTCTCTCTGGTCTCTCTCTGGTCTCTCTCTGGTCTCTATCCGGTCTCTCTCCGGTCTCTATCCGGTCTCTATCCGGTCTCTATCCGGTCTCTATCCGGTCTCTCTCCAGTCTCTCTCCGGTCTCTCTCCGGTCTCTCTCTGGTCTCTCTCTAGTCTCTCTCTAGTCTCTCTCTGGTCTCTCTCTGGTCTCTCTCTGGTCTCTCTCTGGTCTCTATCCGGTCTCTCTCCGGTCTCTCTCTGGTCTCTCTCTGGTCTCTCTCTGGTCTCTCTCTAGTATCTCTCTAGTCTCTCTCCGGTCTCTCTCTGGTCTCTCTCTGGTCTCTCTCTGGTCTCTCTCTAGTATCTCTCTGGACTGAGACACTAACCTGAGTTTATCGGCGGTGAAGATGACCCTCCGCTCCAGCAGCAGCGACGCGAACACTTTGAGGAGCAGCCGCAGACTTAAAGAGGAAAACAGACATTCAAAGTCCACGTGCTCGAGGCGCGAGTCCGACGGCCGACACAGCTCTATCACCTGCAACAGAGCGGACGAAAGTCAAACCAAAAAGATCAGACACATTTTTACTGTTATGAAATACAGAATATTGCGCGACCATGAAGCACCTGCATAAAAACCACAGCTGCTACATTTAAAGTTTAATTCAATGTATTTGTGTATAGCCCTGAATCACAACAGCAAAGTGACAAAGTTGTCGATTCCTCTGGATCTTTGTCTTGGTCTGGGCCTTGATCTGGATCTGTGTCTTGGGCTGGTTCTTGGTCTGGGTCTTGGTCTGGGCCTTGATCTGGATCTGGATTTGGGTTGTGGCTGGATCTTAGTCTTGGTCTGGCTTTTTATCTTTGTCTGGTTCTAGATATTTGGCTTGTTCTGAGTCTTGATCTGGATCTGGGTCTTGGTCTGGGCCTCGATCTGGATCTGGGTCTTCCTCAACAACAGATCAGAGTTAAATGTCTATTATGAAGATTCTTTATCCTGGCCATATGTCTATTTTTACATTTATTACTTGTCTGCATCTTGAGCAAAAGGGAATCCCTAAGTATTCCTTCCCTAAGTATTCCTTCCACCGCCCGACAATATCCCCAGTCGAGGTCAGCAGCTCTCCACCCGCACCGTACACGGTGTTGGCAAAGAACTGCTTCCCCCTCCTGAGGCGCCGGATGGTTTGCCAGAATCTCTTCGAGGCTGACCGATAGTCATGCTCCATGGACTCTCCGAACTCCTCCCAGTCCCAGGTTTTTGCCTCTGCAACAGCCCGGGCCGCGGCACGCTTGGCCTGCCGGTACTGGACAGCTGCCTCAGGAGTCCCCCGAACCATCATGGCTCGATAGGACTCCCTCTTCAGCCTGACAGCATCCCTTACTGCCGGTGTCCACCACCGGGTTCGGGGGTTGCCGCCGGGACCAGCACCAGAGACCTTGCAACCACAGCTACGAGCCGCCGCATCGGCGATTGAGGCAGAGAACATGGTCCACTCGGACTCCATGTCCCCCTCCTCCGCCGGGACCTGGGAGAAGCTCTCCCGGAGGTGTGAGTTGAACGTCCGTCTGACAGGGGGCGCAGCAAGACGTTCCCAGCAGACCCTCACTATACGCTTGAGTCTGCCAGGTCTGACCGGCTTCTTCCCCTGCCAGCGGATCCAACTCACGACCAGGTGGTGATCGGTTGACAGCTCCGCCCCTCTCTTTACCCGAGTGTCCGAGACACGCGGTCGAAGGTCAGATGATACGACAACAAAGTCGATCATCGACCTCCGGCCTAGGGTGTCCTGGTGCCACGTGCACTGGTGGACACCCTTGTGCTCGAACATGGTGTTCGTGATGGACAAACTGTGACTGGCACAGAAGTCCAACAACTGATCACCGCTCGGGTTCAGATCAGGGGGGCCGTTCTTCCCGATCACCCCTCTCCAAGTGTCACTGGCGTTTCCCACATGGGCGTTGAAGTCCCCCAGGAGAATAACGGAGTCCCCGGGCGGTGCACCGTCCAGTACCCCTCCCAAGGACTCCAAGAAGGCCGGGTACTCTGCACTGCTGTTAGGCCCGTAGGCCGTCACAACAATGAGAGACTTGTCCCCCACACGGAGGCGGAGGGACGCGACCCTCTCATTCACCGGGGAGAACTCCAACACGTGGCGGCTGAGATGGGGGGCAATGAGAATGGCCACCCCAGATCGCCGCCTCTCCCCGTGGGAAACTCCAGAAAAGTGGAGCGTCCAACCCCTCTCAAGGAGTTGGGTTCCAGAGCCCAAGCTGTATGTGGAGGTGAGGCCGACTATCTCTAGTCGGTATCGCTCAACCTCCCCCACGAGCTCGGGCTCCTTCCCCCCAGTGAGGTGACGTTCCACGTCCCAAGAGCCAGATGTTGTGTGTGCGGACTGGGTCGCCGAGGTCTCCGCCTTCGACTGCCGCCCAGTCCTCGCTGCACCGCGCCACCACGGTACCCCTCTGCAGGTGGTGGGCCCACAGGAGGGACTGCCCACGTCATCCCTTCGGGCTAAGGCCCGGCCACCAAGCGCTCGCATACGAGCCCCGACCCCAGGCCTGGCTCCAGGGTGGGGCCCCGGCGGCGCCATGCCGGGCGACGTCACTGGTCTATTTATCGTGCTGTCCATGGTGGTTTTTGGACCGCTCTTCGTCTGACTCGTCACCTGAGACCTGTCTGCCATGGGAGGCCCTACCAGGGGCATGAAGCCCCAGACAGCATAGCTCCCAGGATCATCCGAGTACTCAAACTCCCCCACCACGTTAAGGTGGCAGTCCAGGGGGGGAGCCAGCTGGGACCATAACATCTAAATAGACTTTTATCAACAACAAATCATAGACTGTTTATATTAATGGACAGAGTCACGCCTATCTCTGCCGTTCTAACTAATGGGCCAAAAAATGTGCTCTACTGGAGCAATCCAAAATGGCCGCGAGTGGTCCCGCCCACAAGAAAATTGTGAAAAAACGCATCTGCGCATGCGTCAGCCGGCGCAGCTCCATTCATTTGAACAAGAGACTTAAAAAATTCACAGCAAGTAAACTAGAGTGGACCAAAAAATTTACCCCCCTCAGCATTGACACACATGTGGAACGAGCTTTGGGCCAAGAGCCAACTTTTGGACCATCCTGTAAAGACGTTTTTGAGAGGTCTGCCAATGCTATATGTTAGCATTGGCTAATTCTACTTCTGGGTCCACCCCCATCGGCCCGGGGTGGTATTGCAAGCATGTCAGCGCATGTCATTTTGGCCACTTTTGAGCTGGGACCCTCCCCTACTGCAACAAATCTATAACCAACACCTTTTTCACAAAGATAGAAATCCAGGTTTTATTCCTTGCTTTGTCGTTAATGATTTGAGAATCAAAACGAGACCTTTTTTAGTTCTGCGCCACATGGTACTTTACCAGTGAGATTAGCTCTTCTGGCAACCTGGATCACAGACTTTCTCATTGGTGAAATGGTGGAGGGCGGGACATTGAAACAAGATTTAGGGGCTGTAAAACTAATTTTAAAATTCTTGGCTGAACTACAGTCATCAGTGAAAGAAGTATTGAAAAAGAAGATGTTTTATTAATGCCTTTTGACAGATTAGGGCCATTTAATGCTGACTTGACATGAAAATCCTACATATTGCTACTATAAATTTGATTGATTGATTGAGATCAAACTTGACAATTCAAAATAGAATGCGGCATGAGAACAAAACATTGACCAAACATTTCTTAACTACATAGATAAATACTGGTAACTGTGGATAGCACTCTCGCCTCTCAGCAAGAAGGTCCTGGGTTCGAATCCCGGTCGGACCAGGGCCTTTCCGAGTGGAGTTTGCATGTTCTCCCCGTGTCTGCGTAGGTTTCCCCTACCACTAAAAACATGTACAATAGGTCTGCCATGCGCCTCCTGTACTGGCGACCCCACTCCCATCTCTGTGTGGAGTGAGAGGACTAGTGCCCAAAAATAACAATTGTAAACCGCTTTGTGACTCTGATCTGTGAAAGGCAGTATATAAATAAACATTACTTATTTACTTACTTACTTATATACAACGGACTTTACAAAAAAACACAAAATAGCAAATATCTGAAATTCTTCTTGCATTTGCTCCTAATCATGATCTTTGTGGTTCCTGACACAGTGTATTTGAATTGTGGATCTAAATCTTGTCGATGGCCCACCTCTGTCCCAGAACCAGGGAGGAAGTTCTTCACTGTGATAGTCCGTCCGGGGGCAGGGAAAGGAGCCTCCATGATGCCCCTCATAAACGGCTGCACCAGCGCGGGGGAGATCGCACGCCGCTTTTCCACTTCGTCCAGAATCTGCAGAGACACAAACAAGCGCTCGACTTCACTTAAAGCTGGGGTACGGAACTTTCAAACCACAGAAGAACAAAATCTGTTTTTCCTTGTCGATGCAGGAGGGTCTTGTTGGACAGTTAGTGTCCAACAGAAAGGATTGGTGATGATCAGGACACTTTAGCATTCTACAACATGTATGGACATTTTCTTCTGTGTGTGCTTTATACTGTATTCTTCATGTGTTTTAACTGTTGATTCTCTGACCTGTGTTGGTGATTTCAATGGTTTTGTTAAGTCCTCTGAGATGACTTCTGTTGTGACCTAGGGCTATACAAGAATAAATTGTATTGTAATTGTATTGTATTGTATCTGTGATAAAATCTGTGTCGTTGCGTTTATTAGATCGATGTATCTTTGGCCTCTGTCACGTCGTTAGATCAGATTATTCAGACAGAAAAGAGAAAAAGAGTGGACCACCCTCTCTCAGCCAATCAGCTCTCGGCCAATCAGCTCTCAGCCAGTCAGTTCTCGGCCAATCATCTCTCGGCCAATCAGCTCTCAGCTCAAAGAGTCAAAAAGTGACTCATCCATCCATCCATCCATTTTCTTCCGCTTCATCCGTTGCCGGGTCGCGGGGGCAGCAGTCTAAGCAGAGACGCCCAGACTTCCCTATCCACACACACCTCCTCCAGCTCGTCCGGGGGGACTCCAAGGCGTTCCCAGGCCAGCTGAGAGACATAGTCCCTCCAGCGTGTCCTGGGTCTTCCCCGGGGCCTCCTCCCGGTGGGACATGCCCGGAACACCTCCCCAGGGAGGCGTCCAGGAGGCATCCGGAACAGATGCCCGAGCCACCTCAACTGGTTCCTCTCGACGTAGAGTAGCAGCGGTTCTACTCCGAGCTCCTCCCGTGTGACTGAGCTCCTCACCCTATCTCTAAGGGAGCGCCCAGCCACTCTGCGGAGGAAGCTCATTTCGACCGCTTGTATCCGCGATCTTGTTCTTTCGGTCATTACCCAAAGCTCATGACCATAGGTGAGGGAGGGGACGAAGATTGACCGGTAAATCGAGAGCTTTGCCTTTCGGCTCAGCTCCCTCTTTACCACAACGGTCCGATACAGAGACCGCATCACTGCGCACGCTGCACCGATCCGCCTGTCAATCTCACGCTCCATCCTTCCCTCACTCGTGAACAAGACCCCGAGATACTTGAACTCCTCCACTTGAGGAAGGACCTCTCCACCCACCCGGAGAGGGCAAGGCACTTTTTTCCGGTCGAGCACCATGGCCTCAGATTTGGAGGTGCTGATTCTCATCCCAGCCGCTTCACACTCGGCTGCGAACCGTCCCAGTGCATGTTGTAGGTCCTGGTTCGTTGGAGCCAACAGGACAACATCGTCTGCAAACAGCAGAGATGAAATCCTGTGGTCCCCGAACCGGACCCCCTCCGACCCTTGGCTGCGCCTAGAAAGTCTGTCCAAAAAGTGACTCAATAGAAGAAAATATGTTTGAAAATAAAGTGAAGACAGCGTGTTACTCTTTCGTTTGGACAAACTCTCTCTCTCATGGTCTGGGTCTAGATCTTTGTCTGGGTCTGGATCTTTGTCTTGATCTGGGTCTAGGTCTGGGTCTTGAACTGGATCTTGATCTTTGTCTGGGTCTGGATTTTTGTCTTGGTGTGGTTGTTGGTCTGGGACCTGGTCTGGTTCTTGATCTTTGTCTGGTTCTTGGTCTGTTTGTTGGAATGGTTCTTGGTCTGGGTCTGGGTATGGGTCTGGGTCTTGGTCTGGAAGTGGATCTTTTTCTGGATCTTTGTCTTAGTCAGGGTCTGGATTTGGTTCTTGGTCTGTTTTTTGGTCTGGATCTTGGTCTGGGTCAGGATCTGGGTCTTGGTCTTGTGTGATGCTTTCTATCTATGTTTTACCAACCCCTTCCTTCCCTTGCCTTGTGTACGAACTGTGCTATACAAATAAATCTAGCCCTGATTCAGTCTCTCTCCTTCAAATCCTCCCAGGCTAAATCTCCTTCTGGTTCTCATCTGTGAACGATGGTAAAGGATCGAGACCAGGTTTCTTGGCGCTGGTTTGAACGCTTCGCCGTCGGTCACGATGCACATAAACATCTTATTACAGGGAGGGTTTTCTGCTGCAGGAGCCGCACATGAGAGCTGCAGCCAGGACCAGTAAAACCTGTGGGAACCCGGCCCCGGTCCAGAGGGTCCAGAGGGCGGGGCTGTCCCTGCGTTTGCCTGAGAACAAACCCATGATGACAACTCATGGTTTCACATCCCATTCAATCCAATCCAATGTCATTTTTACCAACGCTCGTTTGTAGGTCTGAAAAAAATGACACGGGGGTCTGGTCTAGAGAAACCAGAGAGAGACCAGAGAGAGACCAGAGAGAGACCAAAGAGAGACTAGAGAGAGACCAAAGAGAGACCAAAGAGAGACCAAAGAGAGACCAATGAGAGACCAAAGAGAGACCAAAGAGAGACTAGAGAAACCAGAGCGAGACCAAAGAGAGACTAAAGAGAGGCCAAAGAGAGACCAAAGAGAGACTAAAGAGAGACTAGAGAGACTAGAGAAACTAGAGAAACCAGAGAAAGATCGGAGAGAGACTGGAAAGATTCAAAACAGCCAAAATAAATGTGTTTCCATGGTAACCAACGTTCCGTATCCTCAGTAGACTTAGACCCTCCTGCGTCGGCGAGAAACCTCCCCCAAAAAGAAGAAGAAGGAAAAATACAAAAAACCTTGAGGAGTCCCAAATGTACCTTGGAGAAAAGGTCGAAACACCCGAGACGGCTCACGATGCAGTAGACCTCTGGGAGCCGCCGGCCTTTCCCACTGGGCTGTGGACATGAGAGGGGGACACGGTTGACCAGGTGGACACTGTGGACTATGGAGCTTTCTATAATCATGTTAGAATAAATGACTTTTATGGTCCTTGATTCTGTTCTTTGGTTGCACGTGAGATACAGGTACAAAAATAAGAATAAGAATAAGTTCAGGCGGAAGCTGTGAGGGAGGTAGTGATGAAGCATAAAGGAAAAAGGTAGTTTAAAGGAAAGGACGAAAGATTAAAAAGACCGGAGTTAGAGACCAGTGAGAGAGATCAGAGAGAGACCAGAGAGAGAGACCAGAGAGAGACCAGAGAGAGACCAGAGAGAGACTAGAGAGAGACTAGAGAGAGACTAGAGAGAGAGACCAGAGAGAGACCTGAGAGAGACCAGAGAGAGACCAGAGAGAGACCAGAGAGAGACTAGAGAGACCAGAGAGAGACCTGAGAGAGACCAGAGAGAGAGACCAGAGAGAGACCTGAGAGAGACCAGAGAGAGAGACCAGGGAGAGACAAGAGAGAGACAAGAGAGAGACAAGAGAGAGACCGGAGAGAGACCAGAGAGAGACCAGAGAGAGACAAGAGAGAGACAAGAGAGAGACCAGAGAGAGACTAGAGAGAGACCAGAGAGACCAGAGGGAGAGACCAGTGAGAGACCAGAGAGACACCAAAGAGAGGCCGAAGAGAAACCAGAGGGAGAGACCAGAGAGAGACCAGAGAGAGACCAGTGAGAGACCAGTGAGAGACCAGAGAGAGACCAGTGAGAGACCAGTGAGAGACCAAAGAGAGGCCGAAGAGATTCCAAATAGAAAAAATAAATGCATACGAAGAATCAGTGGTATCACTTTTATCTGAACACAAACCAGTAATCTTCGGCAGTAACCAAACCGTCGACTCCCGTCCTCTCCGGTCAACACAAACGAGAACGTCTCACTGGACACAAAACAAAGAAAGAGACGTCCATCAGAGGTCCTGCTCCTCAGTGTCCTGTGCGGCTGTATTTTACAGTATACGCAAAGCTTTTTACAGCTGCAGCAGCGCTCAGACATACAACCAACAGGTTTGATCTCTCTGGTCTCTCTCACTTCAGCAGCCGTGAGTTCAGGTGGTTAGAAAAGAGTAGGAAATGTGTGTGAGGGTTACAGCCTTAAAACACTGGCTTTGTCCTGGTCTGCCCTTGCAAACATCCTCCTCAGCGGCTGGGGTTGGGTGGAGGGTGGGGGTGAAGGTGGGGGTGGGGGGTGGTCTCTGACAGACACATGTGTGACTATGCAGGTGTGGAGCAGAACCTTCACACTCTACTATTAGGTGATTATTAGCTCTAATTATGGCCCGTGTAAACCATGGCAGTGCTGAAAGCCAACGCTCGAGGCAGTTTCTTCACAGCAGCCATGGCTTTAATAACAACTGTACCATAAAGACACATGTTGGAACCCTGACTATAGACACGTAGATAAACACGACTGAAGTGACCTAAACTGATAACCAAGTTTATTATCGACGTCAACAGAAGTTTATGCAGAGAGAGAGATCGGTTTTCAAAATAAAGCAGAATTACACATTGTTTTAGGTCAAATACATATGGAGAGGGCTTGAGTCCACCTGCAGAGGAAAGCCAGGACCCGTCAGACCCCCTGAAGCTAAGCAGGACAGGGCCTGTGATGGGAGACCTGATGGGAACAGCAGTGTTACCTCCACAGACTGTGTATTAGTGAGTGGATTGACTGAATGTGACATCACCACAGAGTTAGCCATAATGCAGAAGAGGCTGATTTGGGCAAAAGCTAGCTGCAGTCAATTTCCTTTGTGCCGTAACAAGGGCAGACGAGTTCTAAGACGTTTCCCCCGCAAATGAAGGCATCTGATTGGTCAATCTTAATGTGACTCATCACTGTATTTACAACAACGCCATCCATCCATCCATTTTCTTCCCCTTAATCCATTTCTGGGTCAGGGGGGTGTCAGCCAGTACACAGAGCTCCAGCCCCTCACTGATCCTCCTGCAGGTGCTGAGTCCACAGGAGCTGAGATCTTTCAGCAGGGGCTTCAGGCAAAGTGGGGTTAAGTGTCTTGCCAAAGGACACAACGACAGCAGTCATATCAGTGGAAGTCGTGAAGTAGGTCTTATGAACCCACAACCTTCAGGCCCAAAGGCTTGAAGGTTCCTGGCTTGTTTTCAGTTCTGTATTTTTGTATTTTGGTGTTACCTTGGATTTATCTGATTAAATTACACTTTACTTTCAGTCCTGCATTTTTTCTTTTTTCTTTCCTTTTCATTTTCTCGATTGAAGATAAACTTTATTGATCTTACAATGGAGAAATTCACACAATTTATACAGTCTCCCTCTCTGGTCTCTCTCTGCTCTTTCACCCTCTGGTCTCTCTCTCTGGTCTCCCTCTCTGGTCTCCCTCTCTGGTCTCTCTCTCTGGTTTCCCTCTCTGGTCTCTCTCTCTGGTCTCCTTCTCTGGTCTCTCTCTCTGGTCTCCCTCTCTGGTCTCTCTCTCTGGTCTCCTTCTCTGGTCTCTTTCTCTGGTCTCCTTCTCTGGTCTCCCTCTCTGGTCTCCTTCTCTGGTCTCCCTCTCTGGTCTTTCTCTCTGGTCTCATATATCTGGTCTCTCTCTCTGTTCTCCCTCTCTGGTCTCCCTCTCTGGTCTCTCTCTCTGGTCTCTCTCTCTGGTCTCTCTCTCTGGTCTCTCTCTCTGGTCTCATATATCTGGTCTCTCTCTGTTCTCCCTCTCTAGCCCCCCTCTCTGGTCTCTCTCTCTGGTCTCCCTCTCTGGTCTCCCTCTCTGGTCTCCCTCTCTGGTCTCTCTCTCTGGTCTCCCTCTCTGGTCTCCCTCTCTGGTCTCCCTCTCTGGTCTCTCTTGCTGGTCTCTCTCTGCTCTCTCCCTCTCTGGTCTCTCTCTTCTCTCTCCCTCTCTGGTCTCCCTCTCTGGTCTCTCTCTCTGGTCTCTCTCTGGTCTCTCTCTGCTCTCTCCCTCTCTGGTCTCCCTCTCTAGTCTCCCTCTCTGGTCTCTCTCTCTGGTCTCTCTCTGGTCTCCCTCTCTGGTCTCCCTTTCTGGTCTTCCTCTCTGGTCTCCCTCTCTGGTCTCTGTCTGCTCTCTCCCTCTCTGGTCTCCTTCTCTGGTCTCTCTCTCTGGTCTCTCTCAGGTCTCTCTCTGCTCTCTCCCTCTCTGGTCTCTCTCTCTGGTCTCTCTCTCCCTCTCTGTTCTCCCTCTCTGGTCTCTCTCTCTGGTCTCCCTCGCTGGTCTTCCTCTCTGGTCTCTCTCTCCCTCTCTGGTCTCCCTCTCTGGTCTCTCTCTCCCTCTCTGTTCTCCCTCTCTGGTCTCCCTCTCTGGTCTCTCTCTCTGGTCTCCCTCTCTGGTCTCCCTCTCTGGTCTCTCTCTCTGGTCTCTCTCTGGTCTCTCTCTGCTCTCTCCCTCTCTGGTCTCCCTCTCTGGTCTCCCTCTCTGGTCTCTCTCTCTGGTCTCTCTCTGGTCTCCCTCTCTGGTCTCCCTTTCTGGTCTTCCTCTCTGGTCTCCCTCTCTGGTCTCTGTCTGCTCTCTCCCTCTCTGGTCTCCTTCTCTGGTCTCTCTCTCTGGTCTCTCTCTCTGGTCTCTCTCAGGTCTCTCTCTGCTCTCTCCCTCTCTGGTCTCTCTCTCTGGTCTCTCTCTCCCTCTCTGTTCTCCCTCTCTGGTCTCTCTCTCTGGTCTCCCTCGCTGGTCTCCCTCTCTGGTCTTCCTCTCTGGTCTTCCTCTCTGGTCTCTCTCTCCCTCTCTGGTCTCCCTCTCTGGTCTCTCTCTCCCTCTCTGTTCTCCCTCTCTGGTCTCTCTCTCTGGTCTCCCTCGCTGGTCTCCCTCTCTGGTCTCTCTCTCCGGTCTTCCTCTCTGGTCTCTCTCTCCCTCTCCGGTCTCCCTCTCTGGTCTCTCTCTCCCTCTCTGTTCTCCCTCTCTGGTCTCTCTCTCTGGTCTCTCTCTCTGGTCTCCCTCGCTGGTCTCCCTCTCTGGTCTTCCTCTCTGGTCTCCCTCTCTGGTCTTCCTCTCTGGTCTCCCTCTCTGGTCTCCCTCTCTGCTCTCTCTCTCTGGTCTCTCTCTGGTCTCCCTCTCTGGTCTTCCTCTCTGGTCTCCCTCTCTGGTCTCCCTCTCTGGTCTCTCTGCTCTCTCCCTCTCTGGTCTCTCTCTCTGGTCTCTCTCTGCTCTCTCCCTTTCTGGTCTCTCTCTGCTCTCTCTCTCTCTGGTCTCCCTCTCTTGTCTCCCTCTCTGGTCTCTCTCTGCTCTCTCCCTTTCTGGTCTCTCTCTCTCTCTGGTCTCCCTCTCTGGTCTCTCTCTGCTCTCTCCCTCTCTGGTCTCTCCCTCTCTGGTCTCTCTCTGCTCTCTCCCTCTTTGGTCTCCCTCTCATCTCCCTCTCTGATCTCCCTCTCCGGTCTCCCTCTCTGGTCTCCCTCTCCGGTCTCCCTCTCTGGTCTCTCTCTCTGGTCTCCCTCTCGGGTCTCTCTCTCTGGTCTCCCTCTCTGGTCTCTCTCTGCTCTCTCCCTCTCTGGTCTCTCTCTGGTCTCTCTCTCTCTCTCTCTGGTCTCCCTCTCTGGTCTCTCTCTGCTCTCTCCCTCTCTGGTCTCCCTCTCCGGTCTCCCTCTCTGGTCTCCCTCTCCGGTCTCCCTCTCTGGTCTCCCTCTCCGGTCTCCCTCTCTGGTCTCCCTCTCTGGTCTCTCTCTGGTCTCCCTCTCTGGTCTCTCTCTGCTCTCTCCCTCTCTGGTCTCCCTCTCCGGTCTCCCTCTCTGGTCTCACTCTCCGGTCTCCCTCTCCGGTCTCCCTCTCCGGTCTCCCTCTCTGGTCTCTCTCTCTGGTCTCCCTCTCTGGTCTCTCTCTGCTCTCTCCCTCTCTGGTCTCCCTCTCTGGTCTCTCTCTCTGGTCTCCCTCTCTGGTCTCCCTCTCTGGTCTCTCTCTGCTCTCTCCCTCTCCGGTCTCCCTCTCTGGTCTATCTCTCTGGTCTCTCTCTCTGGTCTCTCTCAGACCATCACAGACCTGGGGAAGTTGTCGACAGGAGCCCAGTCTTTGGCGTCGGGAAAGCAGAACTGTGGGATGACTTTGAGCTGGTCCTCGGTCTCTCGCATGAACTTAAAACTTCGCTCCAGCTGCACAAAAAGAAACAAGACACACGTTACAGAAAACCGAGCCCACTGCAGCGCTCAGACAAGAATTCACTAAACATGGATATTAAACATGGATATTAACTCATTGACTGCCAGCCGCTGTTGATTTTCAAGACCCACAGGAAATGGTTTGCTAAAGCTTATTATTATGTGAAAATATTCTGAAAGACTGGACTATCTACTTTCTTCTGCAAAAGTAAGTTTGTTTCTAGCTACTTTATTTTTGAGTTTTTGCCTTTAGAATTCAAGGAGAATGTCTTAATAATAAAAAAACAAAAACAAAACTCACAAGGCAATAATTATAACGCAAAGAAAGGATTACACAAATAATAAAAAAAAACAATAATAAAAAAAATATATTTAAAAATGGATGGTGAAGCGACTTTGAGTTAACTAATGCATTATTATCATTATTATTATTATTTATCGATATAGAGAGAAAGCAAAGGAAGGTTTCTCACCCTTCCTTTGCTTTGACTAATCCCTGTACGACTGAGGGCTTACACAAACTTATAGAGAGAAAGGACATGTTTCTACCTTCAGAGGAAACTGCTGAGTGACCTCCGGCAGGTAGGGGACCCCAGCCTTCGTTTTGTGAAGCGCGACAACGATGAAGTATTCAAAGAGTTTCCGCTCCTGCAGCTCCATCAGGTCCCGCTCCAGAGTCCGGTACTTCCCCGTCTGCCGCAGCATCGACTGGACCGACACCAACCGCTGACTGTGAGCTGCGAACAGAACAGGACGCTCAGACCTGCACCGTTTCTGTCGTTTTTAAAAGTGAAAGCAAAGGAAGGTTTCTCACCCACGTCGGGAAAACTTGCAAAGAAGTACAGATGATGGGTGAGAAACCTTCCTTTGCTTTGACTAATCCCTGTACGACTGAGGGCTTACACAAACTTGTTTTTAAAAGTGGTCATTATCAACACTATTCTGAAACTACTGAGACTCCCAGAGCAGTCGGTATAACTTTGTGACTTTTTCTGTGTGTGCTTTTACAACTTGTGTTTACTACATGTTTTCTTTTTCAATGTGAGTTCTCCCTTTAACTCCATTCATTTGAATTTGCTAGTTACTATGGCAACACTATGTTTACTTGCAGCAGTTGGCATTTAGCATTTTAACTGTTTTCTCTATAATTCAAGTTATGTTCACCAGTTAAGGACAGTATTAAGTGGTACTTTTGGTAAATCTGGTGGAAAAGCAAAACATTTTGGGGGATATTTTTCAACATTACATTATGAATGGGAGCAGTCAAAATGACGGTTCTGGGAGTTTTTCAAATTTCAAATTTTACGAAAATATAACATGTAAATTACTTACTCTGGTCTTTCTCTCAGGTTTCTATAGTCTCTCTCTCTGATTTCTCTCTGGTCTCTCTCAGGTCTCTCTCTGGTCTCTCTCTGGTCTCTCTCAGGTCTCTCTCGCGTCTAGTCTCTCTCTAGTCTCTCTCAGGTCTCTCTCTGGTCTCTCTCTGGTCTCTCTCAGGTCTCTCTCTGGTCTCTCTCAGGTCTCTCTCAGGTCTCTCTCAGGTCTCTCTCTGGTCTCCCTCTGGTCTCTCTCTCAGGTCTCTCTCAGGTCTCTCTCAGGTCTCTCAGGTCTCTCTCAGGTCTCTCTCTGGTCTCTCTCAGGTCTCTCTCTGGTCTCTCTCTGGTCTCTCTGGTCTCTCTCTACACTGTAAACTCTAACAAGTAAAGTTTACTTGAAAAAACCTTGGAAATAAATTGCATATTAACTTCACTTGAATTACTCGAGTACATCCTTTACTTGATATTACCAAGTAACTCAAGCGATTGCAATAAAGTTTAAATTTTGCTCCGACCAAGAGTCGAACTCACAATCTTGAAGTTGAGAGGTGAAAGTGCCACCGTGCTGCCTTACCCCATTTCACACCTGTCTCATTTAACACTCTACACGTCAAAATGTCAAAAGTGAGGCTTACTTGAACAGAGAGAGTTCAATTCAAAGAAAACCCTGAGTGATATCGCCAAGCTTTAAATAAACTAACAATAAATGAGTAATAATTTAAAATAACTTTGATATCTGAAGTACGATTGAAGTTAGGGTTTACAGTGTAGTCTCTACTTCCTTTCGTAGACATGTGTGACATTTCAAACTGATCATTGGAAAGAATATGGTAAGTTTTTGTGATTTTTAGGATTCTGAAACATTGACTTTTTAACCTTATTGTGTTAAGGTAAAAACAAAATAAAGAACATTTTGAAAGTATGAACCATAAAAGGCGGCTCAAAGAAAAGGTTATTTGTAAGTAGTAAAGTATAAATTCAGTGAGGTGTAAGTGAGGATTGTAAAGGAGCAGCAGAGGGTTAAATGTTACAAACGTGTGGTTCATTTCAGAATGCATAAAACCAAAACGGCCTGTATCTATAGTTCTCACCTTTTAGTTTTTCCTCAGTGTCACTTTCTGATTCGCTGTTTTCTTCTGTAACAACAAAAACAGAAACATGAGAGACGCCACGTGTTCACAGAGATACGCTCAACATTTCAACATTTCCTTTATTACAAAAACAACTGTGAAAAACAAATGTGGCTCCAGTTTAGAAAATGCTCTGTACACACTGCAAAAGGAGAAAGAGATTGGTTTTCTTCCGCTTTATCCGTTGCCGGGTGGCAGGGGCAGCAGTCTAAGCAGAGACTTCCCTCTCCACCAGTGGGGGTGGGTCCCGGCTCAAAAGTGGCCAAAATGACGTGCGCTGACATGCTGCAATACCACCCCGGGCCGATGGGGGTGGACCCAGAATAAGAATTAGCCAATGCTAACATATAGCATTAGCTGTCCTCTTGAAAACGTCTTTACAGAATGGTCCAAAAGTTGGCTCTTGGCCCAAAGCTCCGTTCCACATGTGTGTCAATGCTGAGGGGGGTGGATTTTTTTGGACCAGTCTAGTTTACTCGCTGTGAATTTTTGAAGTCTCTCGTTCAAATGAATGGAGCTCGTGCCGACTGACGCATGCGCAGATGCATTTTTTCACATTTTCCACCCCTTGCGGCCATTTTGAAACTGCCCATAGACCACAGAAGTTGTGGCACATTAGTTTGAACGACAGAGATAGGAGAGACTACGTTTGTTAATATTTACAGTCTATGCACATATAATAATAATACAAATATAAAATTGGTTTCATAAAGGCCTTTTCTGGACACTCAAAGACGCTTCACATGTCATAATTCTTTCCCTCCATACACAGTCTCTCAGCTGGCCTTGGACTGCCGCCCCCACGACCCGGCAATGGATAAAGCAGAAGAAAATGGATGGATAGAGACTTTGAGATGCTTATGACAACTCACTAGCCAAAAAACATGTCCATTCAATTCAAGTATTTCATGATTATAATAAAAACAGTCCTTTAAATGTATGCACAAAGGTACAGCACAAAGGTACAGTCCAGTCTGTTGTGATGTCACACCTCTCCCTGAGCTGGACTCTGTGGACTGAGACACTCGCTTCATCCGTTTCTTTCCTCTCCGAGCCTCGAATATAGCATTGATTTTCAACACCATCTGAAAGAGGTTAACACAAACACAAACAAAAAATCAGACCAAAACCAGAAAAGCCTGTCCGACAGAAAGACATATTAAAGCTGGGGTACCTAACTTTATTATTTTAAATATAGAATTGTACATGTGTGCCTCAACAGAAAGAATCAGATCACAATCTGCTGTCTGCATGTTAGAAGAAAGTATTGTGAGTCACATGTTTTTCTCTCTCTGGTCTCTCTCTAGTCTCTCTCTCTGGTCTCTCTCTGGTCTCTCTCTGGTCTATCTCTGGTCTCTCTCTCTCTGTCCAGTCTCTCTCTAGTCTCTCTCTCTGGTCTCTCTCTAGTCTCTCTCTCTGGTCTCTCTCTGGTCTCTCTCTAGTCTCTCTCTCTGGTCTCTCTCTGGTCTCTGGTCTCTCTCTAGTCTCTCTCTCTGGTCTATCTCTCCAGTGTCTCTTTAGTCTCTCTCTGGTCTCTCCGTAGTCTCTCTCTCTGGTCTCTCTCTTTGGTCTCTCTCGAGTATCTCTGGTCTCTCTCTTTGGTCTCTCTCGAGTCTCTCTCTTTGGTCTCTCTCGAGTCTCACTAGTCTCTCTCTCTGGTCTCTCTTTCCAGTCTCTCCCTTGTCTCTCTCTAGTCTCTCTCTCCTTGAGAATCACTATTTGACTTTGGGGGACAGAAACTATTCCTACCAAACTATTCAAACTGTATAAAAAACTACCCTAATACACACAGTACCTTGGGTATTTTCCGGCGTCTGCGGTTGTTGGGGTCTCCGGAGAGGCAGGGCGTGTCATCGGGGCTGCTGGGGGTGGAGGGCGGGCTGATCCGGGACGGGGACGAGACCCCAGAGTCTTTGTTGATTTTCCGCAGCTCGAGGAGTTTGAAGCTTCGTCTTTCTGATGTCTGTCGAAAGAACCCGGATTTTGGCGGCTGAAGCACAGATGGAGGTAACCGTCACTAAAAGGTCTCTCTCTGGTCTCTCTCTGGTCCCTCTCTGGTCCCTCTCTGGTCCCTCTCTGGTCTCTCTCTGGTCTCTCTGTGGTCTCTCTCGGGTCTCTCTCTGGTCTCTCTCTGGTCTCTCTCTGGTCTCTCTCTGGACCCTCTCTGGTCTCTCTCTGGTCGCTCTCTGGTCTCTCTCTGGTCTCTCGCTGGTCTCTCTCTGGTCTCTCCCTGGTCTCTCTCTGGTCTCTCGCTGGTCTCTCGCTGGTCTCTCTCTGGTCCCTCTCTGGTCCCTCTCTGGTCTCTCTCTGGTCTCTCTCTGGTCTCTCTCTGGTCTCTCTCTGGTCTCTCTCTGGCCTCTCTCTGGCCTCTCTCTGGTCTCTCTCTGGTCTCTCTCTGGTCTCTCTCTGGTCTCTCTCTGGTCCCTCTCTGGTCTCTCTCTGGTCTCTCTCTGGTCTCTCTCTGGTCTCTCTCTGGTCTCTCTCTGGTCTCTCTCTGGTCTCTCTCTGGTCTCTCTCTGGTCTCTCTCTCTGGTCTCTCTCTGGTCTCTCTCTGGTCTCTCTCTGGTCTCTCTCTGGTCTCTCTCTGGTCTCTCTCTGGTCTCTCTCTGGTCTCTCTCTGGTCTCTCTCTGGTCTCTCTCTGGTCTCTCTCTCTGGTCTCTCTCTGGTCTCTCTCTGGTCTCTCTCTGGTCTCTCTCTGGTCTCTCTCTCTGGTCTCTCTCTGGTCTCTCTCAGGTCTCTCTCTGGTCTCTCTCTGGTCTCTCTCTGGTCTCTCTCTCTGGTCTCTCTCTGGTCTCTCTCTGGTCTCTCTCTGGTCTCTCTCTGGTCTCTCTCTGGTCTCTCTCTCTGGTCTCTCTCAGGTCTCTCTCTCTCTGGTCTCTCTCAGGTCTCTCTCTGGTCTCTCTCTCTGGTCTCTCTCTGGTCTCTCTCTCTGGTCTCTCTCTGGTCTCTCTCTGGTCTCTCTCTGGTCTCTCTCTGGTCTCTCTCTGGTCTCTCTCTGGTCTCTCTCTGGTCTCTCTCTGGTCTCTCTCTCTGGTCTCTCTCAGGTCTCTCTCTGGTCTCTCTCTGGTCTCTCTCTGGTCTCTCTCTGGTCTCTCTCTGGTCTCTCTAGCTGGTCTATAACAGCTGTGTTCTCTCTGTCTGCTCCCATCAGATCAGTGAAGTCTTCTCTCAAAAAATGTGGAACATCTCTCTCTCTTTCGTTGGAGACTTTTAAATGCTTTTTTCTGTTTACCTTTTTCTGTGGTGCCCGTGAAGCAGTCCAGGGAGTTACAGCGAGACGTCGTTGTAACCGTGCCATAAAAATTAAGCTAATACTGATGTCCCTTACCTTTGTGGGCGTATCAGGGACCGGCGACGAGGACATTGGGGAGTAACATTTTGTTTCTAAGCAGCTTCTCTCCACCTCGATGTCTTCGTAGGGATTTTCCTTGGTCGGAGGGTCTGAAATAACAACGGTAAAAGCATCAAAACACTGTTACAAAATAAGCTTAACTCATTCAATCTATTTCCATCTATAGACGTCAATTGCTCTTGTTTTTGTTTTTGTCTCTCTATGGCTCGTCAAGGCTCTTGTGAATCCTGTGTGAACATTACAGACCTGTCAACGCTTTTGATTGTACACAAGTTTAATACTGTATGTGTACATAAGACAATCCTTTGAGTGTATTGTGTGTACACGTTTAATTAAAAAAATAAGGATTATACATTAAAAATACACTTCTAAGTATTGTTTCTGTTTTGTGTCATAATAAGAAACTGTCATACATTGTAAAATATCAGTAAAGGAAAAATAAAACACTTCTGCTTGAAATGGTGTGTTTCATAAAAAGGCTGTTTTCTCCAAATCTTGGTCAGGAAACAGCATTTTGTGTGAAAGTTACCCATGTTCTCTCAATTACTAAAAAACTAAAAGGGGTAGAAACTTCCTTTTTTTTTTAAATGAAAGCCAAGAGACAGAGCTTCCATTTGGTATGTTTTATACTTGTGTCAACCAAGGGCTCACATTTATATGAGGTTTGGAAAAACACTAAAAATATCCATAATCTCTGGCAGTGCGAGGGATGCTGCTTCATACTGTATATGGCTGGCAGTGAATGAGTTAAGCAGTTGAGAATACAGAATTACATAAGAAGGCTTTTGGCCCATCCGTCCGCAGAATGTGTTTGTAATGATGGTGTTTCATTCTCCACATGACAGCTGCTCCAGATGTGGAAGACGTTGCTAAATCACGAGATGTAACTACAGCGCTCCCCTTCGCCCACAGATAAAGCAAAAGCAGTCGTAACTTCCCTTTCTCTGTCTCTCCTCTGTAAAATCAGTCACATCATGTCCAGACGTGGAAAGTAGATCTGCCTCAGAGAAGACTGAGTTTAAGTTTAAGAGAAATTATACTTTATTGACTTTATCCTCTTTATTTTTTCATTTCTGCGGGGGGGGGTCTCTCTCTCTCTGGTCTCGCTCTCTGGCCTCGCTCTTCTCTTTCTCTAGTCTCTCTCTAGTCTCTCTTTCTGGTCTCCCTCTCTGGTCTCCCTTTGGTCTCTATCACTGGTCAATCTCTCTGGTCTCTCTCTCTCTGGCCTCTCTCTGGCCTCTCTCTGGTCTCTCTCTGGTCTCTCTCTCTCTGGCCTCTCTCTGGCCTCTCTCTGGTCTCTCTCTGGTCTCTCTCTCTCTGGCCTCTCTCTGGTCTCTCTCTGGTCTCTCTCTCTCTGGCCTCTCTCTGGTCTCTCTCTCTGGCCTCTCTCTGGTCTCTCTCTGGTCTCTCTCTGGTCTCTCTCTCTGGCCTCTCTCTGGTCTCTCTCTGGTCTCTCTCTCTCTGGTCTCTCTCTGGCCTCTCTCTGGCCTCTCTCTGGTCTCTCTCTGGTCTCTCTCTGGTCTCTCTCTCTGGCCTCTCTCTGGTCTCTCTCTGGTCTCTCTCTGGTCTCTCTCTGGTCTCTCTCTCTGGCCTCTCTCTGGCCTCTCTCTGGTCTCTCTCTGGTCTCTCTCTGGTCTCTCTCTCTGGTCTCTCTCTCTGGTCTCTCTCTCTGGTCTCTCTCTCTGGTCTCTCTCTGGCCTCTCTCTGGTCTCTCTCTGGTCTCTCTTTGGTCTCTCTCTGGTCTCTCTCTCTGGCCTCTCTCTGGCCTCTCTCTGGTCTCTCTCTGGTCTCTCTGGTCACTCTCTGGTCTCTCTCTCTGGCCTCTCTCTGGCCTCTCTCTGGTCTCTCTCTGGTCTCTCTTTGGTCTCTCTCTGGTCTCTCTCTCTGGTCTCTCTCTCTGGTCTCTCTCTGGTCTCTCTCTCTGGCCTCTCTCTGGTCTCTTTCTGGTCTCTCTCTCTGGTCTCTCTCTCTGGTCTCTCTCTTTGATCTCTCTCTGGTCTCTCTCTCTGGTCTCTCTTTCTGGTCTCTCTCTGGTCTCTCTCTCTGGTCTCTCTCTCTGGTCTCTCTTTCTGGTCTCTCTCTGGTCTCTCTCTCTGGTCTCTCTCTCTGGCCTCTCTCTGGTCTCTGTCTCTGATCTCTCGCTACTCACTCTATCAAACTGTCCAAACACAGGAAATGCAATAACAAAACCACATTGGTCCATTAGGGGCAGATACCAATGTCCATGAATGTTTCCAGATAAAAGTGTCCTCTGTGTCTGAACCATCCTCCGTTGCCGCTCGAGCCTCCGTCAGAAAAAAACAAAAACACGCTGAAGTCCATGTTCTTTGCTTCCCTCCTGCTTTAATCACAGCCCCACACGGCGCCTTAGCGTGTGACGTGTGTTATGAGGTAAACATGCCCTGCGAGGGTTACAATAATATCAAGACAATAACGCTGAACATGGGTCAGGATCTTGCTCCTAATTTTTAATAAGCGTGGCCCTCTATGAAAACTAGAGCAGAGAAAACACTGCCGGCCTCTCTCTCAAACAACAAGGATGTTCTATAGCTGGTCGACCAATCAAAACACTGTCCTCTCAAGAACAAGAAAGAATATTTATAAAGAATAGTGTAGGGTTCGTGGTTGATGTTCAGTTTGGGATGAAAAATAATATTTAACTTAACTTTGATCAAACAGAACACAATTATTACAGTACCCTTGTTGCCCTTGTGATACACCCTTTTTTAGCTCTACTCTACTTGGCTCTACTCTACCCCGGTTGGTAGCGTCTCCACAGGCTGTGTTTAACCCATGGATCTATAATAATAACCGGATAGGGTATCACTAACTTACTGCTGTCCCACCCATGGGCACAGGGGGCGCTGTGGTACTACAGACTAAATTCACGCGGGCTACCCAGAAAAAGGTCCCATAGAACTCAATGTAAACTAAAACAGCTCGACCTCAGCTGACAGAGAACGTACAACTTTCAGAAAGATCGGATTTTGTGGGGATTTTTGTGTCACTTGTCATCTTGAACTTTTTTACTTCTTAAATTCCTTGCTTTTCTTTAAATCCACACTTTACTGCCACAAACTCTGCTCCTTTCCTTCCTGCTCTGAGTCCGCTCTGCTGCTGCTCTGATTGGTCAAAGCGCAGCCGAGCCCCTCTGTGCGCGTGCACGAGAGCCACACACGTGTATTTGGCGCAACGCATCATGGGAGCTCCCATGACCAGCCGATGCCCAAATATAGGCAAGTTCCGCTAATCTTTCGGTCCCCATGCGCTACTGAGCACAAGTCATTCATTTAAATAGGACGCCATCTTGGATCACCGGGGCTTGGTTTTAAGCAGGTACTTTTTTAGTCCCTGCTTGGCTCTGGTTCTATCCAGGCCGAGCTGCTACTAAAGTGTTCTAGATGATGTTGATTTGTTGTGGGCGGCAGTGTTGCTTAAAGTTACTTAAAAAACCTAATGTATGATGCAGTACTTGTTACTGTTATTTCAAAGTAATGTGTTACTACAATATTACTGTCTTTGAATTATACAACATTACACTACTGGATTACTTTTAAGTCCCTTTTAATAAATATATAAATACAAACTAAATGTAGCTTATGATGCTATTGCGTGAGGTTGATAGAGCTTTGGGTTTAGCACATGAAGTACATTTCCTTGTTATGTTCGGTACATTTTTCTCTTCAACAAACTCTAAATAATGGGAATCTGTCCGTCTTGAAAATGTGTTATTGTCTGACGTAGTGCCTTCTTCTGCTTCAGCCTCAGCCGTCTTCCACCAGAAAGGAAAAAACTTGTCTATACAACTACTAATAACTCTGATTTTTTTCTCCTCTGCAGATCTGGCATCGCAAAACCACCAAACATGATTCCATTTTGGGTAAGAATGCAACGTAACGCAAGTTTTTGGAATGCCTTACTGCTCCGTGTTACAGCAAAAAGCAATACATTAAAGCAGTGTCTCCCAAAGTGGAGTACTGCAGGGGGGCCGCGGGAGGTCATAAAAAATATATATATATAATTATTTAATGTTAAATTTATAATGTTTTGTTTGTAATATTAAAATATTTGTGTTCATTATTTGACTTGAATAATCCACTGTAATCATTTTTGTATTACAATGTTTGTAGCAGAGGCTATTTCCCCAAAATAAAATAACCAGTAGAGCCTATTCTTAATGTTGTCTTCTTGGTTATTATTTTGGGGGGCCACGCAGACCCGTCAGATTTTTAAGGGGGCCTCGGTGTTACTGAGTTTGGGAATGGCTGCATTAAAGTAATACATATACATTTCTCCATTGTAAAGTTTATTTTCCATCCATCCATTTTCTTCCCCTTAATCCATTTCTGGGTCAGGGGGGTGGCAGTCAGAGCTGCACCCAGTTCACAGAGCACCAGCCCCTCGCTGATCCTCCTGCAGGTGGTGAGTCCACAGGAGCTGATATCTCTCAGTGGGGGCTTCAGGCAAAGTAGGGTTACGTGTCTTGCCCAAGGACACAACGACAGCAGTCATCAGTGGGAGTCGTGAAGTAGGTCTTGAGGTGGGCTCGAACCCATGACCTTCAGGCTCAAAGGCCAATGCTCTACCAACTGAGCTACTGTCGCCCCAAAGTTTATCTTATCTTATCTTAATTACTTTTATAACAATTCACTCCCAACACTGGTAGATAGGTTACTCGAATACAGTTACAATACTAAAGCATAATGTAGAAAAACAACCAGGTAGAGTCGAGCCGAGCCGGGTAGAGTAGAGTCGGACCAAGTAACCGGACACTCTTCTTGATGATCTGTTTTACCTATGATGTCCTCATAGACGTTCTCCACTGATAAAGTGCGTGCGAGGCCGAGCCGAGACTGCGCATACCGGTCCGCCCTGCACCCCTCTGCGGACAACTGCAGCAGATCCTCAAACTCGTACGACTTCCTGAAACACATAGCATTACAAACGTTACAGCCTCGCATTCAGAGAGGAAGAGGAAGGATTAGGGTCTTTGAAACAGAACAGTAAAAGACTTTAGAATGCAGGAACCGGGGCTCGTTTCCATCTGCTACTTCAGAGTGACCGCACAAGCAGGAGACGGTGAAGGCTGAGGTGCCAGTGGTGCCACATGATAGCACTTAGCGGGCAATTAAGAGTCGCCCGCTAACATAAGACTGTATACAGATGAACAATGCTAACATAGACTGTATACAGATGGACAATGCTAACATAGACTGTATACAGATGGACAATGCTAACATAAGACTGTATACAGATGGACAATGCTAACATAGACTGTATACAGATGGACAATGCTAACATAAGACTGTATACAGATGGACAATGCTAACATAGACTGTATACAGATGGACAATGCTAACATAGACTGTATACAGATGGACAATGCTAACATAGACTGTATACAGATGAACAATGCTAACATAGACTGTATACAGATGGACAATGCTAACATAAGACTGTATACAGATGGACAATGCTAACATAGACTGTATACAGATGGACAATGCTAACATAGACTGTATACAGATGGACAATGCTAACATAGACTGTATACAGATGGACAATGCTAACATAAGACTGTATACAGATGGACAATGCTAACATAGACTGTATACAGATGGACAATGCTAACATAAGACTGTATACAGATGGACAATGCTAACATAGACTGTATACAGATGGACAATGCTAACATAGACTGTATACAGATGGACAATGCTAACATAGACTGTATACAGATGGACAATGCTAACATAAGACTGTATACAGATGGACAATGCTAACATAGACTGTATACAGATGGACAATGCTAACATAGACTGTATACAGATGGACAATGCTAACATAAGACTGTATACAGATGGACAATGCTAACATAGACTGTATACAGATGGACAATGCTAACATAAGACTGTATACAGATGGACAATGCTAACCCGTAATGATCAATAAAGCCCATAAGGGAAGTACTCATGAACAAAGTTTCGCTCTGGCTCCTGTTGACATACATTCAAAAGTAAACTCCGTGAGCTCAGTAATAGTTCGCGTCAGACTCACAAATTTGGGATTAAAAATATATTGAGTTTAGCGCACTCTGTGATGGTGTTTATATTGAGCCAATCATATGCCTTCTTTCACATTTGTCTTAGCAACACGTTTGTCCCTTTTTTGGTGAGATTCAAGATTGAAGTTTAATTGCCATTTGCAGTAAGGAGAAGTGAGAACCTATCCCAGTGGAACAAATGCCCATATAAGGAAATTAGCTCCAGCTAGCTTATGTTCAAATTGGCATCTACCTCATTAGGGCTAACACTATGGTGATGTCACACTCGGTCAGTCCACTCCAGATGAACGCTCTACGGTTTTGACGCACTGTTGACTCGTTATGGACAAAGGTAACGGTAAATAAAACAATCAAATCTGAGGATGCAAAATGTAGCCCATGTTAGCGTCTTTGTGTGGACTCATTTACCAGTTTATTTTGACAATAAATGAACGTCCTGTAGCTACTAACATTTTTGGAGTCAATATAACAAGTCCATAAACTCTACGACTAAAAAAGTTCTATGTATAAGACAAAATGTACTTTCCCTTCAACTTACAATTCATACAAATTGCTTAAAGATGCTATACCCATTTTTTTGTTCATGAGTTCATAAAAATTCTAATTACTACATCCAAACTGTATTATAATCCGTAATTTAATTGAAAAATTGATTCAGCTGTGTATGAATTCAGGCCGTAAAAAGTGCAGAGTACAGACTTTAGCGTGACGCCCGTTCTCCTCCAATCACAGAGCGAGGCTGCGTCCTCTAGCCTCTACAGCGCTGCTAAACACAGTAGCATGTTAGCATAAGTGGCTATAACTCCTCTGGTTGTAACTGCAGACAGAGCAAAACAGCCCAAACGACACAAAAGTGAGGAAGAGAAGAGGGAACTAAAGCGGAAAAATGATCAAAGAAGAAATCAAACCCGGGTGAACATAGCTAGCTTACATCGTATCCTCTGGAGAGACTTGTCTATGGGAGAGACCTGCGGGACCGCCTCGGACTATCTACACCCGGACTATCTATGTTCGGACTATCTACGCTCGGACTATCTATGTTCGGACTATCTATGCTCGGACTATCTATTTTCGTACTATCTATGGTCGGACTATCTATCCTCGGACTATCTATGCTCGGACTATCTATGGTCGGACTATCTATCCTCGGACTATCTATGCTCGGACTATCTATGCTCGGACTATCTATCCTCGGACTATCTATCCTCGGACTATCTATGCTCGGACTATCTATCCTCGGACTATCTATCCTCGGACTATCTATGCTCGGACTATCTATGCTCGGACTATCTATTTTCGGACTATCTATGCTCGGACTATCTATGCTCGGACTATCTATGCTCGGACTATCTATGCTCGGACTATCTATCCTCGGACTATCTATGCTCGGACTATCTATTTTCGGACTATCTATGCTCGGACTATCTATGCTCGGACTATCTATGCTCGGACTATCTATTTTCGGACTATCTATGCTCGGACTATCTATGCTCGGACCATCTATGCTCGGACTATCTATCCTCGGACTATCTATCTTCGGACTATCTATGCTCGGACTATCTATGCTCGGACTATCTATGCTCGGACTATCTATGCTCGGACTATCTATGCTCGGACTTTCTATTCTCGGACCTATCTATGCTCGGACTATCTATGCTCGGACTATCTATGCTCGGACTATCTATTTTCGGACTATCTATGCTCGGACTATCTATGCTCGGACTATCTATGCTCGGACTATCTATTTTCGGACTATCTATGCTCGGACTATCTATGGTCGGACTATCTATGCTCGGACTATCTATGGTCGGACTATCTATCCTCGGACTATCTATGCTCGGACTATCTATGCTCGGACTATCTATGCTCGGACTATCTATGCTCGGACTTTCTATTCTCGGACTATCTATGCTCGGACTATCTATGCTCGGACTATCTATGCTCGGACTTTCTATTCTCGGACTATCTATGCTCGGACTATCTATGCTCGGACTTTCTATTCTCGGACTATCTATCCTCGGACTATCTATCCTCGGACTATATGCTCGGACCACATTCGGACGTGAAACTAGCAGTAATCTTTCAGTTATATATTTTGTTAGCAGTGCGTTGCTTTTGTACCATTTCATCAGTGCTTGTTGTACAGCTTACTAGAAGTTGCGCTCATGCTATGTATAGATCACAAATAAAACTAGATGGCTCCGTGGGATGAGAGCGTAGAGGAAATGAAAGACATGTGAGCGAGTTGACGGGCGGTGCTAAACATTCAAACCCTGCAGAAACGGGAATAGCTCCTTCAACAGTCTAGCAAGTACTGTACGTAGAAACATCAAACCATATGGAATCAATTGTGAATACTTTCTGTGCCTTTCCCAAGCCTTGACAATAAAACCACTATATTCTAGCAACACAACTGGAATCATTAGTAATTATAAGTGGGCTTGAAGTACAGTATTCCATCGTGTTTGTATTGTGAGGACGTCTGTTTCCACGCAACCACAATTCCTTTGTTCTAAAGACTTATGCGCACACAGTCGAGCCCATAATGATCCATCCCCGGGACATTTCCACTTGGACTTAGGAGCACATTTTTGCATCAGTCTCTTGCCACAGCTCACCACTCTCTGCTTTTCTCCACATTCCCGACAGAAAACGCTCATAAGTCCTCAATGATTCTGAAACGTATCACATTTTCCTCTCTCAAAGTTTAGTTTCAACGTATACAGACTGATCCAACCTTGCTGTGTGAAGGGCTTTTCCTCCTGCTGCTGTCAGACTGTACAACAAGAACTGCTGAGCCTGTGCATATTAGTCTCCGCCATTGAAACTTATGTGATCACTTTTACCTCCTGCCGACCTTCTCAAAATTGCCGCAAATGGCCCCTCCCGCAGGAAAGTGGTTAAAAAAAACCATGCATTAGCCGGCACGAGCCTGACACATGGCGCTCAATAAAGGAGTGCATTCAAAAGTCCACAGCGGCTAAACTAGACTGGTCCAAAAGAAAATACCCCACTCAGCATTGACAGCGTCTGAAACGTAGCGTTGAGCCAAGAGCTGACTTTTGAACCAGGCTGTAAAGCTGTTTTTGAGAGGAAAAAAGGCGCAATAAGAATGCGTTGGATAATTCTGTTTCCGGGTACACCCCCACAGGCAAAGAGTCAGATCACAAGCATGTCAGCGCACGTGCTCATGGACACTTTTGAGGTCACTATCTGCTGCTGCTAGAACTACTATTATGGTCATATTCTTTGCTGCTAAATTACAATATCAACCATCTGTAAATGTCTCCATTGTGAGATCAATAAAGTTTATTGTATCTAACTTCCTGGCTGCTAACTACAGTGTTTACAGCACAACTTTAACTTTTCTTATCCATATAAAACCACCACCTGCAAGTGAAAAGCTCAATCCTGTCAGACCTCTGAAGCTAAGCAGGTCTGGGTCTGGTTAGTGCAGTGATGGGGGATCTCTGGGAACACTAGGTTGGTCAAATGTGTGTCCTCTGAACTGAAGAATGATGGTTTGAGTTTTGCTCCCGACATAAAGATTAAGTAAGTAAGTGATTCATTATTTATATACCGCCTTTCACAGAACAGAGTCACAAAGCAGTTACAGCAGTCAGACTGACCCGCAGGTTGGCAGCAGACTTCACAAAACCGTTGAATTAGCCAAGACAGATCAGAGAATCAAACTTTCTGGGTGGAGGTTGCATGTTAGAATATTTTAGTTTTTATAACGTTTTAATATATTTCATTCCGTTTCTACTCTTGAGCCAAAGCGATTTCCGATTCTGTGACATCCTGTTACTTACATGGCAATAAAAAGGATCATAATTCTGATTCTGTGTGTCTGTCTAAGTCAAAATCATCGTCTTAATTCGGTGTTGTCCCCGCCAGCATGGGACAAATAACAGATCTCTTAGACCACATGTGTCAAAGTCAACTTTGAATGAATTTCACATGGCCCGCTGCCTGCCATTGACGCACTATTACGTCAATTGCGTTTTCCGCTATTTTCATGTTCCCAGATGTCTATTATATCTAATATGTTTGGGGATAAGCTTGAGAGCATATTGAATCGAGCCAGCAGGTGGCAGCAGCGCTCTCTGAATGGTTTGAAAACAGCTAGATGCACTTGTTGTGCCTCTTTTTCTCAGCTTTTTGGTGATTTCAGTAAAACTTCCCTCTACTCAACTGGGGATTACAAGCTAGAAACAAAATTATTTTTGCTGATGAAAGTAGTAGTCTATTCTTCAGCCTTCAGTCTATTGCTGCGAGCCCTCGGCTCGCAGCAAATTTGTTTTTTGGCCCTCTGATGTATTTGACTTTGACATGCCTGTCTTAGACTTAGACAGACACATGGGGAGAACATGCAAACTCCACACAGAAAGGCCCTGTCTGAAGGTGGATCCCTGGACCTTCTTGCCGTGAAGCACAAGTGCTAACCACTGCTCCACTGATAAAACAATACACAGTTCCGCCCGTCCCTGCAGAGCCCATTGTGCGTGATTGTAACCATCTGAACCAAAGTGCTATTTTAGAAGGATAATAAAATGTAAAGCAGCCCAGGAAGAACGTGAAGCAATAAGTAGTTGTGGTTTTGGAATATATATATACTGTATACACACTGAAACTCACTTGATTTGTGGCTGTTTGGGGACGTATCGGACAGCACTGGGCCTGATCTGGAATTACTTTATTATATCAAAATGTGAAGTCGTTTGGACACTATGTACAATATAGAAAGAAATGAGAGATTTATTGAGTGTATTTATCTGGTCCATCTGTGCAAAGTTTAACAAGTGTGTTAAACTCATAGTCTCTCTCTCTCTTGTCTCTCTATATGATATCTTCCTGGTTTCTCTCTCTCTGGCCTCTCTCTTTGGTCTATTCTCTCTAGTCTTTCTCTGTAAGTAAGTAGTAATCTTTATTTATATATACCGCCTTTTCACTGCACATTGGAGTCTCAAAGCGGTTTACAATTGTGATTTTTAGGAGCGGGGTCGCCAGTACAGGAGGCACATGCCAGACCTATTGTACATATTTTTAGTGGTAGGGGAAACCGGAGCACCTGGAGGAAACCTACGCAGACACGGGGAGAACATGCAAACTCCACTCAGAAAGGCCCTGGTCGAACCCAGGACCTTCTTGCTGAGAGGCGAGAGTGCTATCCACTCAGCCACCGTGCCACTCTGGTCTCCCTCTGGTCTCCCTCTGGTCTCTCGCTGGTTTCTCTCTCTGGTCTTTCCCTGGTCTCTCTCGTCTTCTCTCTAGTCTCTCTCTCTCCGTGGTCTCTCTCTGGTCTCTCTCCCTGGTCTCTCTCCCTGGTCTCTCTCTCTCTGGTCTCTTTCTCTCTAGTCTCTCTCTCTCCGTGGTCTCTCTCTGGTCTCTCTCCCTGGTCTCTCTCTCTCTGGTCTCTTTCCCTCTAGTCTCTCTCTCTCCCTGGTCTCTCTCTCTGGTCTCTGGTAACTGCCAGGTTATACTTACAGTTATATGATGTGTTTGGAGTACACAAAGTATGTAAAAAAGTGCACACAAAAAATCAAATAAACAGGCTACAAATTATGAACCATGCAATAATGAGGGACCATTGTATATTTAATTAATATTCTGTATTGTTTTCTGTGTATAGATGTGTCATGATCTAACCACTCTTTCAACCTTGTACTTCTTAAGCATCTGATATATTGATCAAGGTGAAAATGTGTTGCGTTTTTTTGCGCAGTTTTAAAGTCTTTATGAAAACGCAAAACTTTCCATTACAGTATGTTTGGCCTCCACCGTCTCTGGACTATAGCTGCCTCGACTCTGCCATAATCGAACTGCTGCGAGCGTGGGGGCCTCTTCGGCGTCGCGGAGAGAAGAAGCAGAAATGAGCTGTACTGCATTCCTGATCGCGGCTCGTGTTTTGTGTTTTGGGAGGATCGAGATGTCGTCACTGTGGTTTGATTTGCAGCAGATGGTCCAGATATGCACCTCTGGATCAGCCGCACAGGAGGAGGGGGGATGGGGGTGGAAGGATGGGTGGGGGGGGGGGGGGGGGGGGGGGGGATATGCGGGCTGTGGCGATCCCAACAATTTGTCACACTTGATTTAGCACGGGTATTGTTTCATGTACGGCAAATTGTGAAACTCCGGGCCCATTGGTCGGGTCTCAGATCGTGTGTCGCTGTAGGTGCCACGTAGAGATTTAACGGTGTGATAGTGGAGCAGAGTCATCACGGCCTGGATTATCAATATCCCAAGAAAACATTCGTACGATAACAGTCTTGTTTCTTCAGACGGCGTCAAAAGTCTTCCCTAAATAATGTCGCATTGAAATGAATAACTTTGAGAAATCCGCTGTTGAGGTGGAACTGTAAATGCTTTTCCTGGCATTAGAGCTACAGACGTCACATTGACCGTGGTCCAAGAGTACAAATGTTTAGGATATTTAGCCCTGTTTCCACTAGCACTGTTTCCACCAGCCCTACTCGGCTCTACTCATTTCTACTTGGCTCTACTCTACTTTACTCGGCTCTACTCTACTCGGCTCTACTCTACTCAACTCTACTCAGCTCAACTCTACTCTACTTGGCTCGACTCTACTCGGCTCTACTCTACTATGCTCTACTCTACTTGGCTCGACTTTACTCTACTTGGCTCTACTCTACTCTACTCAGCTCTACTCTACTCTACTCTACTCTACTCTACTCTACTCTACTCTACTCAGCTCGACTCTACTCTACTCTACTCTACTCTACTCTACTCTACTCAGCTCGACTCTACTCTACTCTACTCTACTCAGCTCGACTCTACTCTACTCTACTCTACTCTACTCAGCTCGACTCTACTCTACTCTACTCAGCTCGACTCTACTCTACTATGCTCTACTCTACTCTACTATGCTCTACTCTACTTGGCTCGACTCTACTCGGCTCTACTCTACTCTACTCTACTATGCTCGACTCTACTCGGCTCGACTTTACTCTACTCTACTCAGCTCGACTCTAATTTACTCGGCTCTACTCTACTCTACTTGGCTCTACTCTAATTTACTCAGCTCTAATCTACTCTACTTGGCTCTACTCTAATTTACTCGGCTCTACTCTACTCTACTTGGCTCTAATCTACTCTACTTGGCTCTACACATAATAAAAAAAAGAATCTTATTTTTGTCAATACTTGTTGTGTCACTATACGATAAGAATCAAGACAATATTGAATTGTGGTCTAAATATTTCAATACTATACTAGTCCATCTTGAGAGCACTTGAGACATCCTCATTGACATGTATCTGTTTTTATAATCTGTATGTAACTTTTGTCCGGGACTCCAGGTTCTTAATCTCAATGGGACTATCCTGGTTAAATAAAGGTTAAATAAATAAACTATAAAACTTCCATATCTTTGCCAATTCCCGTCCCTACTGTTGACTCACCTGTTGTTACTGTCCCGTGGTTTGTCAGACCAGGCCCTCCTACAGACGCCGGGCGGAGGACTGGAGGGTAAAGGTGGGGGCGGGATGGAGGGCAGAGGGGGTAAGATCCGCTTCCCCTTCCCCATCCCGGGCCCCGACACTGGGCTGGTGGGCGGGGTGTGGTGCTGGAAGGTCCGCTGAGGTTTGGGCAGGGGGTTTATAGACGGAGCGCCTGGTTCGCTGTACACATTCTCGGCGTCCCTCCTCCGTCGCGAACCAAGACGGACCACATCGAACGTCCCGAAAATTGGCTCACTGCCCCTTTTCTCAGTCTCCTCCTGTTCCTCCTTTGACGGGGGGCAAAAATAATTCCCGGGAAACGCTAGCGAAGGCCTGTCCGGTTGGTCCTTAGTCGCCTTTTCCAATTTTTTCACATGAATTAAAACATTTTTCTTGTGTTGAGGTTGCTCTGTTGGTTTTATGGACCTTTCGATGATCAAGTTGTTGTTACCTTCTGTAGCTTTGCATTTGAAATTCTCCTTCCCTGAGTCTTGTCTCTCCCGACTAGCAAACCGCTTACTGTCCGAGCGTTGAACATCCGGTATTTTCGTCTCCTTCTTCCTGGCGGCCTCCGGATCGCCCGTGGACCCTCCTATCGTGGGCTCCCTCTTCCCCTCCCACTGAGATATCTTGTCTCGAATACTCGCAGATTTAGCCCCTGCCGAGCTTTTGATGTTGTTGAGATTGGTTCCACATGAGCCGTTTTCCAGGCCGGGAGTGCGAGGGTCCGTGGAGGTAGTCGTTCTGCGTTGGGCCAGCATGGTGTCCTCCGGTTGGCCTGGTTTGGATGACGGGGACACGGGACGATGAGGGGGAGCGGCCCTGGGACCCGCCACCTCCGAGAGCAGGTGGGGCACTGCTGACAGTGGGGAGTCCCTCAATTGGAAGCCACAGCACTGGAGCCTGGAAGAGACGATGAACATAGAAGCCGGATTTATGCAGTGATAAAAGACAGATTTATAATTTATTATACTGATTTATTGAACTGATTATTGGTTATTACTATTACTATACTAGCTTTTTGGAATGATCTTTTTTTATTTATTTTTTTGCTGCTACTGGACACCTGAATTTCTCAGACGGGGATCAATAAAGTATCTATCTTTTGACTGTTTGGAAGTCTGGGGAAACACAAACAAAAACATAATAAATCCTTCAATTATCTTACATAATTTATCTTTATTATCAGAAAAATCTGTCAGAATGATTCTTTACTCGAGAGAAAACTCAAACCGGTCATTCAAACTGTTAAAATCACAGTATCTCTTGCTGGTCTCTGTTTCTAGTCTCTCCCTCGCTCTGGTCTTTCTCTCGCTGGTCTCTCTCTTTCTTGTCTCTCTTTCAGGTCTCTCCCTCTCTCTGGTCTCTCTCTCTCTGGTCTCTCTCTGGCCTCTCTCTGGTCTCATTGGTCTTTCTCTGGTCTCTGTCCGGTCTCTCTCTCTCTCTCTCCGGTCTCTCTGGTCTCTCTCTGGTCTCTCTGGTCTCTCTCCGGTCTCTCAGGTCTCTCTCTGGTCTCTCTCTGGTCTCTCTCTGGTCTCTCTGGTCTCTCTGGTCTCTCTGGTCTCTCTGGTCTCTCTCCGGTCTCTCTCCGGTCTCTCTGGTCTCTCTCTGGTCTCTCTGGTCTCTCTCTCTCTCCCTCTGGTCTCTCTATCATTGTGATGTATAAAGCCAAAGTCTCTCTGTTGCCAGCATCTGTACAAAAGCATTTCTCTCTAAAATCCAACAAGAACAGCAGAAAGGAAACTACACTTCTCTCTCTCACAAGATGTTTTAAAACCAAAAAACTAGTCAGACAGTTTGTACGACAGAGCTACAATGTTGTGGTTTTAAAGTGAAATATACCAGCATTACATTTCTCTCAACTACCAAGTTATAGGGGCCAAGATAATACCTCTCCCCTTATACTGAGTTTTGTGTATCAACGAAACGCGTTCATTGATAAACACTGGGGCGACAGTGGCTCAGTTGGTAGAGCACTGGCCTTTGAGCCTGAAGGTCGTGAGTTCGAGCCCACCATAAGACCTTCTCCACCGACTCCCTCTGATGACTGCTGTCGTTGTGTCCTTGGGCAAGACACTTAACCCCACTTTGCCTGAAGCCCCTGCTGGAAGATCAAGTCTCCTGTGGACTCACCACCTGCAGGAGGATCAGTGAGGGGCTGGTGCTAAGTGCCACCCCCCTGACCCAGAAATGGATTAAGGGGAAGAAAATGGATGGATGGATGGATGAAACTCGTTCAAGTCAATTATTTTGTATCACGCATGTATTATGTACAGTATGTTTGTTTTATACACTGTAAAAAGCAAAGACATAAGCATAGATTAAGAAGCCTACATTATAAAATCCAAATACTTCCTTTTTGGAGGAGATTGGATTTTTATAAACGTTTTGCTTCGTCAAATCCTTTTTCAAACCAAATCAAGGGATATTTAGGACAGGGACAAATGTATTATTAATTGCGAGTTCATTTCTAATCATATCTGTGACAATAATGTGATTAATGACATCCACTTGACAGCACTAGTGTGAATATTGCAGGTTTGCTTCCATGTCCATTCATGTCACTTCTAAAAGCTGTCTCCGAATCACCCTCAAACCCTTCTTTGTTTTACAAGCCAGGATTTCTAGTAAAAGTTTGCAGCCGCGGTGAGTCCCTCCCACAACATGACTGGGTCACGGCAGCTTGAACTCTGGGTTTCGGGGTTAAAGCCTCGAGGCTCCTCACACAAAGTTATTTCTGGAGCCGGGAAGAAAAGTTTCTGCACATGAGTGATGGCTGTGTATACGTGCAGCAAACTTTCTACAGCTGACCCAAAAAACATGGCTCTTGGACCGAAGCCCAGCCATGATTAAAACAACTATTCCTCAGAAGGGAAGGGGAATGTGCCCTTGTTTAATGACTTTGGAAGACCTGAGCGACTGAAATGTTTTTGTTATGTTTTGCTCTGCTTTATAACTGTTTTCGTCTGGGCTCAAACATGGACCAATGGACAATTGTCATGTGATATTTTGGCTGTTAAGTTTTGCTGTTTGAACTCGACAAAACCCAACCAAGTGAAATGTCAAGAGAAAAATATATGTAATTACTTTTTAAAATGTTGTATTTATGAAACAAGAAAATGATCTCTGTTTCCACCAGCCCTACTACTCTACTCTACTTAGTTGCGTTCCCATCACATGTTATTATCTAGTACTGAATCCTCGGAACCCACAACAAACCAGTATCCAGGGAAATTCCTTGCCTTCTAGCAATACTGGCCAATCACAGTCAGTTAGAATAAATTAATACCAGCTGGGCCTGGATTAAACCAGGGCCAAGAGGGACTAAAAAGTACCTCGTAGCAGTTAAACAAATTGGGGTAGAGATGAGTAACAATGCATGGGTTTTATATAGCACTTTTTTTGGACACTCAAAGATGCTTCACATGCCATTATTCTTTCTCTTCATACACAGTGGTAATTAACTTCTTCTGTAGCCACAACTGCCTGGGGCGCACTAACAGAAGCGAGGCATCCATTATGTACCATCAGCCCTTCTCACCACCACTAACCATTCACACAAACACTAGACCCTTTCTAATGTCAGCGCTGCTCCACTGTAGCACCCAGTGTTTACAGAGGTCTCCCATCACAGTAATAACCATGCCCCGCCCTGCTTAGCTTCAAAGGTCTGACAGGATCTGGCTTTCACCTGCAGATATGGCCACAAAGAGTAGAGCCTAGTATGTCTAGTGGAAACAGGGCTTTAGTCTTGGTTAAGAGCGTGTATCCTGGTTCAGTGCTGGTTTTCTCTAATGCAACGTCAGCCATCTTGTTTGGAAGAGTAAAGTGCATCATGAAAACAACATCATTCATTCGGTTCTCCTTCTAGTACAGTAATCATCAGATCATGTGAGCGCAGATGATGTTGAAACAATATGAGCCAAAGGAAATGGTGTGAGCTGGACAGACGCCCCCACCCCCACACACACAGACACTCTACAGCCTAAGTTAAAACAGCAGTTTATTAGGCATGAAGCAACCAAGGGGAAAAACTGGGTCAAAAGGGAAAGTCAAGTGGAGAGAAATAACCGATACAAGAGGCCGGGACGGAAGAGAGCAGACATGGAGCTGAAGAAACCTGAAGAAAACGGCTCGAATGATTGAACGGCTGCAAATAGTGGAATACGTTTGGAAGGCTCAGGAAAAAAGTTGTGTACTGGATAAAATGTCAAATATAAAACTTCATGAGGGACCAAATACCAAGATTTAAGTGAGTCTCACAAATATCAAATGTTAGCGTCCTTAGATTTTCTTGTGAGGTGACGTGTACCTTACAGCGGTGGGGTGGGTCACCGGCTCAAAAGGGTCCGTGAGCACGTGCGCTGACATGCTTGTAATCTGACTCCTTCCCGGTGGGGGTGTACCCGGAAACAGAATTATCCAGTATATTCTAATGCCGACTTTTAGATTCATAAACGGCTTTACAGGATGGTCCAAAAGTCTGCTCTTGGCCCAATGCCTACGTTCCAGATATGTGTTGATGCTGAGGGGAGTTTTGTTGTTGTTGTGTGGATCAGTCTAGTTGAGCTGCTGTGGACTTTTGAATGCACTCGTTAAATGAATGGGCCTTGTGCAGCTAACACATGAGCAAATGCGGTTTTTTATGCATTTTAAGAATGACGGCAGGGGGGAAAAGTGATCACACATATGTTTCCACGGCAAAGATAGGCGTCACTGCGTCCGTTAATATTTACAGTCTCTGGTTATGAAAACCTGCGGCTTACATTCAACTGCGTTCTGCGTTTATTTTATTTTATAAATGGAACTGGTGCGATAAATAAACAGTAGCAGAATTATGTTCATAGCCATTTTAAGTAACAGGAAGTCACGAATTCGGCTTTTGGAGTAAAAAATAATACAAGCCAGAAAAAGATCTACTTAATATATCTTTAAAATACTACTATATACAAGTGCACACTAAGTACACACAATAGGAGCGCTCAAACCCCAGCAGTGCACCCACCCCTGGATAAGTTTTGGAGAGGGCACAGTATGTGGTCAGAGAGGAGGAAGCACCCTCTCCAGATGGTCGCCCAGTTCCCCGCAGGTTCAGGGCTTTGTCTCAGCTGACCTTGACATAAGGAGAACACAACAATAGCTGGGTCGAGTCTGACATCTTTCATATTTAATCGTTTTCCCGTACATAGAAAAACAGTGATGGAGAAAAAAAAGTAGGACATTTTTTTTCTCAAATTTTGCTAAATGTGTCTTAATTTGAGCGCATTGTGACTGCCTTAAAACAAGATGTGCCAATGTGGAAAGCAAAATGATCTTGTTTTAAGCCACAGATATTGAAATACGCCTAAATGGCTTTGTCCCATTTGCATATTGCGTTTTAGGACAGTCAGAATGTACTCAAATTGACATGAAAAGCATTCGATTCAAGCTAGTAGTTCCTTTTATTACACGGCTCCTCACAGCAGCAGCAGAACGCTCCATTGATTTGAATGTATTTCTTTATAACGGACCTCTCAAACCAGTCAAAGGCAACATAATTTGGGCAGAAGCAGAACCCTCCGCTTCGTGTCGGGGTCCGGTTCGCCCTGTCAGTACTTATTTTCCGATAATGACCTTCGTTCTATACATTATCCTTTACATTTTTTAGCATTTTTTTGCCGTGCACCGATGCAGAGGGTCTAAGGAGAGTGGTGATGATCCAGGACACTCGACTCTCAACCACATTTATGGACCAATGGCTCTATGTGTTTTTATCATTGCATTTCCTGCGTTTTTAAACAGTTTGATTCTCTGATCTGTGTTTGCTCTGTAAAGTCCTCCCAGATACCTACTGTTGTGATTTACAAGAACAAATTGATTTGAATGGATACATACCCGTTGACTGATTGGTAGATGCAGTTTTCAGTGTTCGTACAGAGCAACAGGGCTCGTCCGCCGGTCATGGTGCTAGCAGCTGGCATCCTGCAATATATCAGAAACGTTTTTTTAGACTTAATTTGGAAAGAAATATTAGGAGAAACTAAGTGGTATTATGTTAAAATGACTGTATTAAACTGAAATTACAACCATAACGTTTTTCTGGGTATTCTTTCCATTGACATAACAGCTTCATGAGGGTCAGAGCACGAGTTTCTGAAATAAATGATTCACAAAGAATTTGGCGCACACTAAGAAGACGGCCTCTATTTGGCCAATCAGAGAGAGAGACCAGTGTCAGATTAGAGAAACACCAGGGACCAGAGAAAGACCAGAGAGAGACCAGAGAGAGACCAGGGAGAGATCAGAGAGAGACCAGAGAGAGACCAGAGAGAGACCAGAGAGAGAGCAGGGAGAGACCAGAGAGAGACCAGAGAAAGACCAGAGGAAGACCAGTGTCAGATTAGAGAGACCAGAGAGAGACGAGAGAGAGAGCAGATAGTAAGTAAGTAAGTAATCTTTATTTATATACCGCCTTTCACAGACCAGAGTCACAAAGCGGTTTACAATTGTTATTATTTTTGGGCATTTGTCCTCTCACTCCACACAGAGATGGGAGTGGGGTCGCCAGTACAGGAGGCGCATGCCAGACCTAGATAGAGACCAGAGAGAGAGAAGGGAGAGACCACAGAGAGAGACCAGTGGGAGACCAGTGTCAGATTAGAGAGACCAGAGAGAGACGAGAGAGAGAGATGGGAGAGACCAGAGAGAGAGACCAGTGGGAGACTAGAGAGAGACTGGAGAGACCCCAGAGAAAGACCAGAGGAAGACCAGTGTCAGATTAGAGAGACACCAGGGATCAGAGAGAGACCAGAGAGAGGCCAGGGAGAGATCAGAGAGAGACCAGAGAGAGACCAGAGAGAGACCAGAGAGAGAGACCAGAGAGAGACCAGAGAGAGAGAGAAGGGAGGGACCAGAGAGAGACCAAAGAGAGGGACCATGAAGAGATAAACCAGTGAAAGACCAGAGAGCGACAACCAAAACTTATTCCTGGATATTTACTCTATTGACATAACAGCTTCATATTGGTCAGAGCACGAGTTTCCACATGGTCAACAAATTATTTACAAAGAATAACTCCATTCAGCCTTGCTCCCCAACCTGTCTGACCGCACTTTATCTTTCTGCTCAAATAGTTACTTAAATAGACATGGAAGAACCTCTGTACGGCCAAGACCTTAGGTTGTGTGGTCGCCTCGTAAAAAAATACAATTGACAAAGAAGATTAACTTAATTTCTTATGAACTGTCTCCTGTTCATGGTTTTTACACTGATCCAGACCAGAGCAGAGAGGACACATGGTCCGAACCAAGCAGATCTAGCTTAAAAAATGCTAATCAAGAATTCAGAATTTCACTCTGGACCAAAGCAGAGAAAATAGTCCCAACCAGAGAATGAACGGCTGCACCACCTCTGCTGCTGCAAGCCAAAGTGCTGCTGTCTTACTGTTGTTAGTCACTTTCAGAATTACATGTATGTATTTACAGTATTTGTTTGTTTGGAGGGATGTGTTTCTGCTGCTGGATATTTGAATGTCTGTGTGTCTGTCTATCTATCCGTCTGTCTATCTCTCTCTCTCTGTCTGTCTGTCTGTCTATCTATCTATCCGTCTGTCTATCTCTCTCTGTCTGTCTGTCTGTCTGTCTGTCTATCTGTCTATCTATCTATCTATCTATCTATCTATCTATCTGTCTGTCTATCTGTCTATCTGTCTGTCTCTCTGTCTGTCTATCTCTCTCTCTCTGTCTGTTTGTCTATCTGTCTATCCTCTCTCTCTCTCTGTCTATCTATCTATCCATCCGTCTGTCTATCTCTCTCTCTGTCTGTCTGTCTATCTGTCTATCTATCTATCCATCTGTATCAATCTCTCTCTGTCTGTCTATCTCTCTCTCTTTCTCTCTATCTATCAATCACTCTCTCTGTCTGTCCGTCTGTCTATCTGTATATATCGCTCTCTCTGTCTGTTTTTCTCTCTCTGTCTGTCTGTCTATCTCTCTTTCTCTGTCTATCCATGTCTGTCTGTCTACCTATCTCTCTCTGTCTGTCTATCTCTCTCTCTGTCAGTTTATCTCTCTCTCTCTGTCTGTCTATCTCTCTTTCTGTCTGTCTATCTCTCTCTCTGTCTGTCTATCTATCAATCTCTCTCTGTCTGTCTTTCTGGCTGTACTGTATGTCTGTCTATCTCTCTGTCTCTCTGTCTATCAATCTCTCTCTGTCTGTCTTTCTGGCTGTATGTCTGTCTATCTATCCGTCAAATGTAGTTTCTGGTCCATCCATTTGGTCTTCACGCATCATTGCCAACTTCACATAAAATCTTAATGGCCCCTTATGCACTTGAACCGACTTAATCGCTTTTACCACCGCTTTGGACACTGAACCCAACAGAAAACACCTCCTTCACCTCCTCCTTCACATCCTGCCTACAGCTCAAACCCTGCAGCGACCGGGACTTGTACCAGATGTTCATGGGATCGTTTCTGGTATTCAGAGGCTGTAAAACGTTTCCTGAGCTGGACCTGCCTTGGCCTAAAAACCCCCGGGAACGATCTCTCTCCCTGTTGTTGTCTTACTCTGGCTCTTTCTAACTGTCTCTCTTTCCCTGTCTCTCTCTGACTCTGGCTCTTTCTACCTGTCTCTCTCTGACTCTGGCTCTTTCTACCTGTCTCTCTCTGACTCTGGCTCTTTCTACCTGTCTCTCTCTGACTCTGGCTCTTTCTACCTGTCTCTCTCTCTCTCTCTCCCTGTCGCTGTCTTACTATGGCTCTTTCTACCTGTCTCTCTCTTACTCTGGCTCTTTCTACCTGTCTCTCTCTCTCTCTCTCTCCCTGTCGCTGTCTTACTCTGGCTCTTTCTACCTGTCTCTCTCTCTCTCCTCTCTCTCTCTCTCCCTGTCTCTCTCTTACTCTGGCTCTTTCTACCTGTCTCTCTCTTACTCTGCCTCTCTCTCCCTTTCTCTCTCTTACTCTGGCCCCCGGAACTCTCTCTCGCTCCCTGTCGCTGTCTTACTCTGGCTCTTTCTACCTGTCTCTCTCTTACTCTGGCTATTTCTCTCTCTCCCTTTCTTTCCCTTACTCTGGCTCTCTCTCCCTGTCTCTCTCTTTCTCTGGCTCTTTCTACCTGTCTCTCTCTCTCCATGTCTCTCTCTCACTCGTTGTCTCTCTCTCTCTTTCTCTCTGTCTCTCCCTTAATATCTCTCTCCATGTCTCTCTCTCTCTCTTTTTGCCTCTCTGTTTCCCTCTACCTGTCTCGCTCTCTCTCTTAATTTCTCTCTCCCTGTCTCTCTCCTACTCTGGCTCTTTCTCCCTCTCTTACTCTGCCTTAATTTCTCTCCCCATGCCTCTCCCTCTCTTTGTCTCTCTCTCCCTTAATTTCTCTCTCCATATCTCTCTCTCTCTCTCCATGTCTCTCTCTCTCTGTCTCTCTCCCCCTGTCTCTCTCTCTCTCTCTCTCTCTCTCTCTCTCTCTCTGGGGTCCAATGTGGGTCCAATTGAAGCAAATTCCACAAATTGTTGTTAAACTTGGCGGCGCTGAAGTAAGCAGCAGTTTGAACCGTTACGTACAGAGTTGGCTCATGGGTAATGGGACATAATTGGTCCTGAGGGTTGTTTGGAAACGATCCTGACGTCAGCTTTGACTAACGTGAAACTACTGCAGAGTAATGCTTAAGTAAGAGGTACTTTTAACATAGAACCACAGCATTTCTGGGATTGAGAGATGTTTTAGGAAAGTTTTTATTGCTCTGGTAACACTCAGTATGTTCCGGACGGTGCTCCAGCTTATGTCAATCATTCTGTGAAAAACTAATCGCAAACAAGATGCTACAGCTTTCAAATAAAGTCTAAAATACAAGAAAGAACACACATCTTCAGGTATACTGAAGATACTGTATCCCTCTCTCATAGGTCTCTCTCCCTCTTTTCTCTTTCTCTCTATCTCACCCTGTCTCTCCCAGTCATCTCTTTTCTCTTTCTCTCTCCCTGTCTTGCTCTCTCTCTCTTTCTCTCTATCTCACCCTGTCATCTCTCTTTCCCTTACTTTCCCATCTCCCGGTCTCTCTCTCTATATTCCTCTCCCTGTCTGTCTTTCTCTCTCTCTGTTACTCTCGCCCTCAGTCTTTCTCTCTCTCTGTTACTCTCGCCCTCAGTCTTTCTCTCTCTCTCTGTTACTCTCGCCCTCAGTCTCTCTCTCTCTCTCTGTTACTCTCGCCCTCAGTCTTTCTCTCTCTCTCTGTTACTCTCGCCCTCAGTCTTTCTCTCTCTCTCTGTTACTCTCTCCCTCAGTCTTTCTCTCTCCCCATCTCTCGCTCTTTGTAACTCTCCCTCAGTCTTTTTCTCTGTCTTTCTCTCTATCTCACCCTGTCTCTTTCTCTCTCCCCTGTCTCCCTTTCATCTCTTTCCCTTACTCTCTCTCTCTGTATCCCTCTCCCTGTCTGTCTTTCTCTCTCTCTGTTACTCTCTCCCTGTCTCTCCCTCAGTCTTTCTCTCTTTCCCTGTCTCTCTCGCTCTGTAACTCTCCCTGTCTCTCTCTCCCTCAGTCTTTCTCTCTCTCTCTATAACTCACTCTCTCCCTGTCTCTCCCTCTCTCTCTCTCTGTAACTCTCTCCCTCAGTCTTTCTCTCTATCTCACCCTGTCTCTTTCTCTCTTCCCTGTCTCTCCCTGTCATTTCTCTTTCCCTTACTCTCTCTCTCTGTATCCCTCTCCCTGTCTGCCTTTCTCTCTCTCTGTTACTCTCCCTCAGTCTTTCTCTCTTTCCCTGTCTCTCTCGCTCTGTAACTCTCTCCTTGTCTCTCTCTCTCTAAAACTCTCTCCCTCAGTCCTTTTCTCTCCCCCTGTCTCTCGCTCTCTGCCTATCATCTATCTTGTCTTCCTCTCTCTCTCTCTCTCTCTCTCTGTTTCTTTCTCCCTGACTCTCTCTATCTCTCTCTGGCCCAGTCTCACTCTCTCTAAATTGTGACATACTGGCGGATGTACACACCCCCTGTAGC